CACGACTCCCTGCCTATACTGACCATGCAGAGCGCGGCACCACGACCACGGCTCTCTGCCTAAACTGTCCATGCAGAGTGCGACGCAATGGCTCTACTCTCCTGAACATGAGGTGATGGTGCTTTGGTGAAAGAGGCGGCGTGGGAAACGAGTGCATTAATGTGACATGGTATTGCAATGATCATGGATTGTTTCCTAAATTCGAATATCAGTTGCATAATGGTGTAGCATCAATTATGAACATCTTTTCTTTTAATAAGCGCAAACAATTTTTCATGTACCTAAAGTTGGCGTAGGCTTTGGTTTGTCCGAACCAATTTTCAGTTCCGCTTACAAATCATTTTACACTAACTCTGTATGCCCGTATCATACTAGTAGATATACGAATCACGATGACTGATCACGAAATTGATAGCATTTTTAGTATGTGACAAAACAAAATCAAATCAAAGCACCAAAGAAATCCGTTGTCAGTTCAAGAGCTAACGTCATTTTTAAATAGGTATTCTTATTTCTGATATCAAAACATTTTCATTTCCTTGAGTGAATCACACTACGTACACTAAAATAACCATTCCATGCCATGCAGTAAGTTTCTTTCTAGCAGTGGTGAATCATACTTTTGCAACATTCTGGTGGCATCTGTGCACCCGTAATTGAGGACATCTTTCTCCTCTTATGGATGCTTCTGGTAGTACCTAAGTAGACTAGCTAGTAGGTAATGTAAAGTAGATGCAGCTGATTGACAAACGGCTCACCCAATGTCCATCCTGGGTCGGCCTTCCGATGAACGAACACGTCACCATTAGTTTCTACTTTCTAGTAACCCAAATGGGCATCTTGCAGCACAGCAAAACATTAAAACCCGATCTACCCACTGTCACGATCCGTTCTTGCGCTTGGTGCTCAGTGTTCGGACGTCCCTCGCCACAATCGTGTGAGTGGCAATAATCTGACTCGAAAGTTTGTGTGCAATGCTGCGTCTGGGAGCCGAACAAGCCTTACTGGAGTTCACGACGCAGTTTCAGAGGATGAAAGGCCCACATCAGACAATTTACTTTTAGTCGTAAGAGGAATTATCTCGAGTGCACTTGAATTCCAAACTTTTAGGTCATGGTTCGTTTTTGTTTCCAAAATTATGCATAGTTTCGTTTCAAGAACATCTTTCGACTTAGAGGTAGAACGCGTTTTAGCCAGTTGCAGAAACTGAACCTGAGAAAATACGGGAGGGTAGGTATACGGGATAAATACCTACTGGAGGATAAGGGGAATATGTAAGTACATCCAATGGTCCAAGACATAGCTGCGCGTGGCGTAACACATACCTGTCGCAGCGATTGAGCGCCCTAAAGAGGTGAGTTGACTAAATCACCACATAGATGGCACTAGTGGTAGGCGCCTGAATATATGCTGTACCGCATGGCCAGGGGCCCGGGAACGATTTTCAAGTTGGGGGGGGCGAGCCTAAAATGCCTGACATGATGCATATGAAGCAGTGGCGTAGTTAGGGGTATAAGGGGACACATACCCCCCCCCCCCCACACCCATCGGGTTGGAAGGGACCCTCGGGTCCGAGAGGACCTGCGGTGCCATTTGACCGCTGAGGATTAACGATGACCATATTTCGACTCAGAATGGCCTCATAGGTCTCGTTAGTGCACCTTATGGGCCCTAAATAACCACACTAAAATCTCAACAAGGGCCCCACGCCGGCTTCTGAGGGAATCTTGCAGATTTTAAGGGCCCCTCGGTGGTCTCCAAAGGCCCGTTACTGGCCTCTGAGAGTTCTTACCGGCCTATGAGGGGCCAGTTCTAGGGGCATTTCCCGCCTGTGATGGTCACACACTTATTTTTGGGTCCCATAACGGCAACTGAGGGGCCCTCATCGGCGCCTATGAGGGCCCACACCGGTGTCTCTGAGCATTTCACACCCCCAACTCTGAGTGCCTATACCAGTGCCTTTTAAAGCCCTATATCGGCGGCTCTGAGGACCCAACAGTCAACACCTGCGCATCTAAAGGCCACCCACTGGAAACTTTGGAGGGCCCCACACCGGTGACTCTGAGCCCTGAGGGCCCCACCGGCGTCTGACAGTACCATGCCGGTCTCTAAGGACCCCACAAGACTTCTTCTGCCGGCCTAAGGGCCCCGTGCCGGTCACTGGTTGGTTTGTAGTTCCTGTTGGGTTTCCCCCTGTTGGTTTGTAGAGGGTTCGCGTCAGCAGCTCTAAAGACCCCACACCCGTCTGTAACGGCTCCACACCAGCGTCTATGAGATCCCAGAGCAACGCCTGTAAGGACCCTCACCGGCGCCTCTGAGAGAATCACACTAGCACCTCTGTGCGCCCGAACCGGCACCTGCATGGCGGCCCATACCAATGCCTCTAAAGGCCCCTTACCGGCGGCTCTGAGGGCCCTATACGCCGGTGATTCTGAGGGTGCTACCGATAACCAAATGCATCAGACAAGCCCTTAGTGTCGCTGAGCTTTAATCCCATAGATACCGGCCTTCCGAGGGCGCCACGTCAGTGCACTCATTGCCCCACACCCCTCCCTCACACCCGGAGCGGGTAAACTGTGTTATACCTATATTATAGCAACGATTTTACCACCGTTGTACGTTATATATTTCTCAAAGTTTTCTCAAAATGGTCTAGTATAAAATCTGGCCTGCCAAACTCATGGCCAAGGCCAGGCCCAAACCAAAGCGGGATGACAATAGCAGATGTTGTGAAATCGATACTGTATCAGCAGAAACCATTCAGATGGCTAGGAAAATGCCGTGTGATGATGTTTAGATGGAAAACAAGAAGGAAAGAAGTCCGGAAAAGGGAAGAAAGATCCTTTCACGCTGCCTCAATGTTGAGGGGGCGCCGCCCCCTCGGCTCTCAAGTTGGGGGGGCAAGCGCCCCCGCTGCCCCCCCCCTGTTCCCGGGTCTATGCGCATGGCCCATAATAAACGCACGGGAAACTCGCGATTCATTCATTGCTGTCTTCTTCAGTGCTGATGTATCGAGTTGTCACTGTGGAACCTTTTGATATGTGATATATGAAAAACCTGGAATAATGATACAGCCCCTATTCTTACGAAAAAATGCAAAAAATTAAAATGCCTCTGTAGATGAATCGGTTTATCCTAGGAGCCGCGACACCCAAGTGTTAGGGATGTTGTTCACTGCTTTTCTTCCTGTGCCGATGAATTGAATTGATAGTTGGCGAGAAAACAACGGTTGCTCAGTTTGTGACGATGGCAGCAGCGACATAAGCACAGGTGACGGTCGACAGGTCGTGTCGTTTGAATTTAATTGTTTATAACAAACTTGAGTTCAAACGCACACATTTTAATCCCACCAACGGAAACATCACCATGCATGAAGTGACATGAAGATTGTAGAGTAACAACTACTTACTCATTGTTTGGCTCACCTACCTTGTATGTTCTTAGATCCGCCTATGCGAGATGACACCTCTCCTACGTCACATCTGAGAGGGTGTGTCAATTGAAGCACATCACGTCCTGCACTCTCGCTGACACTGACACCATCCAGCACCGATCAGGTGAGGTCAGGTCACCCTGGGTTACCGTCCTCCCTCTCCTCTCACACGTCCGCTCTCCCCGGCGACAATCAACCGACACGGTGTCTGGCGACGCGTGAACCAAGGCGGCCGGCGCGGCGACTGCGCCATCAGCTGACTGCGCCGGCTCACCGACGATCGTGTCACGCCCCCTCTCTCCCCTCCCTCCCCCCGGGCTGCTGGGGTCGTCCACCCCGCCCCGCACCCCGCCCAGAGCTCCGTTAGCGGAGTGTAAACGATCCCAGTCGTATACACAGAGGAGGCAGGCCGTCTCGAGTCCGGAGTCTTGACCCTCCGACCCACAGCTCCTGGCCTTGAACGAACGGACGGACGGACGATGCATCCATGGATGCATCGTCCGTCCGTTTGTACAATCAAGGCCAGGCGTTGATAATGATGATCAACGCCCAGATGAGATAATGGAGCAAGATTTGTTTTTCACGTCTTGGCTATCTTGCAGGCATTAGTCGCGCTATCACTCTAGGTAACCAGTCGATCAGTCGATTACCTGGATGTCCAGCAATCAGTAGAGTGATCTCAATGCGAGACCATTGAGCTAATGAGCTCGGTGGCAGGGGTTTCCAGCTTGTATTGAAATATTTGGAATTTGGGAGCACATGTTACATTGTTACAGCCTAAGCATGCCTTTATAAGGGATAGGAGCTAAACAAACACAAATACCCATGCTCCGGAAAGCAAGTAAGCAATGGAGAAAGGATGTGTTATGCGTACGGCTCTCGCGAGTTAAGCGGTAGGTTTTGCACTTTTACATTTCCGGTTATACCTATCTCAGAAACTAATCGATCTACGATGAAGCCATTTTACACGATCGTGGTCGGCTTGTGAACCAACAAGTCGATCGCATCTTCAACACTTAAAAGCTTAAGACGACGAAGATATAGCCTGAAGTACACTAAATTTTCTAGGTGCAAAACCTACCGCTAAAGGCTGAAACAGACTCTTTCCGCATTCAGGAAATCGCATGCGAGAGCCTATTCAAATACATTATAATTCTTCCCGCATCAATCGCATCCGGGAGGTGCGTGCGATTGATGCGAGCGTGCCTCCATGTATTTGAATAGACTCTCGCAGCATGCGATTTCCTGACTGCGAGGAGAGTCTGTTTCAGGCTTAAAACCCGCGAGACCTGTACATTGCACACCAAAAAGCCCAGATGCATTGCTTAGATTGCAGCACTGTCCAGCACAGGCCTGACTGTTCCAGCACTGACGTCCTGGTTCTGGGTGACCCGTATTCGACTTTCAGCCAATATTGATGCAGTCCGTATTCATAATTGACCTACTTGTATGCATGCTTCTTTCAAACAGGTATAGCAAAATATAAAGTCAGAAGGTCAGTAGAAGCGCTTTCTCATTTTGTTACGGCACCGTTCTATGGTATCAAATCAAACTCCAAACTATCTACTCAGATAAAGCTGTATATTTTGCGAACACCTTCAACGAAAGCAATGCCTCATAGGCTGCTTATAAATCCATGCAGGGATTTCACAATATTCACAATGCACTACGTCATATAATTAATTAACAAGCACGCATCATAATGGGTTTACCAACAACATGACGTTTTCGATGTGTGAAAACGTGAGGTGGCAGGATCCATAGAAAGTCGTATGTTAATCTCTTGGCTGGGCTCACAAGCACACTTATGCTTATTCTAGCTACATACCAACATTGAGATTTTAAGGTGAGATAAATCAACTCATTTCACCATTCTGCAGGCATTATATGACATTCACACACCATGAGACAACATGAATCATGCTATCTGTGACACACCCTATAGTTGTCGTCAGCAGGTATCTGACAAATGGCAGAACACTCGCACACGTGGATCGATGTACAAAATATTGTGTCACACAAGCCTCTTACATCAATATCGTTGGTACAGAGATCAAAATATAGCACATACGTTGTCTTATTACCAGCCAATTGCATTTTGTCAGTAAAACCATGGTAAAACCTTACTAACATGACGCATATTATTTTTTGCGTGGAGATATATGATTCAATTTGCCCATTCGCAGACGCTACAGCACATCGTCTCGCACTTTGCCACCTGAGATTCTACGTCATTTTTCTACCTTTCTCTACGGCATCTATACTATCATACCTATAGGTCAATCCGAGATTCATGTTGACGAGATTCGTGAACTTCTCTGACCTGTCTGAAGCAACATTGTGACTAGACAGCGTCAGTGCCGGGCGCCAGGGTTCCTCCCCCCCCCCCATTGCATTTTCACGTTCGATGCAGACTGTTCCGGTATGTTTCATTCATCGCGAGCGCGTCACTCAGGGAAATGCACAAATAAAGAAAACCTAATTAGCTGTTTCTACCCCACGATGGTCTTTTCCACTGGAATGATGCTGAGTTATCGCAGGTATTTAGCTCTCACGCATGCGAAATTATCCCTCGCTGCCCCATGTGCAATATCTTGTCAATATTCGTGGCGTCCTCTCTGCCGCACTCCTTTGGTCGTTTGTGTTGTCGTTTGCCCGACGTCTAGAATTTAAGTGTTAGGCCGCTTCATGTCCAGCTTCTCTGGACTTTTTTGGAAGCCACTGCTACTGACTTGAAGACTCAGTTTAGGCCTGACTTCTGTAATAAGAAAAGGCAGTGAGCAACATAGGTTTCATGCATATTCACTGGTACTCTTATGCAGTCAATATGCGCAAAGATTTACACTGGATGCATCACGGCATCCATAAACTCTTGATGTTACCAACATACCTAGCTAAAGCTGGGCTCAGTAGGTGAGCAATCTCGATTCCATTTATCACATATATATTTGCACCCCATCCCCTAGGGCAGTGGTCGGCAGGCCCTCCGGGGTCGTGCCCCCTTTTCGGGCGCCAGGCAGGGCCATTACCCCCACCCTACCAGACACCATTGCATACACAACCGAGCTCACTGAAATGTCATACCTTTCCGTGACTCTTTGGGTATTTCGGGTATTATTATGTAAAAACGTCGGATCACGACACAATTTTACCCTCGAGCCGATCATTTTTTTATCTGCCATAAAACATGTCAGACATTGACAGACATAACCCTGAGAAATAACTATTGACTTGTTAGGCAGTTGTTTCTTGAGATCATGGAAGGTCATAAAATTTCAATTCTAGAAGGTACAGCGGGTTCTGATCTACTACACAATTGTCATTGACCCTTTGAAAGTCTTAAGTCACCCAATGGCCAAGGAAGTTAACCGTCACCCGTATTGGTGTTTTGCCAGCCGCTAATGGGGGGAGAAATTCGTTGGACCCCTATTTGTCGTTCGGCCCCTGATCAAGCATGAGCTTCGCGGAAAAAACGAGCGTGTTGCCCCTGACGAGAGGAAGCTGATGATACGCGATTTTAAGGTCCTAGGTCATTGATTGACCTTCCAGGTTGGCTCAGTGACCCAAAAAGTCGGAAAATCGAGACCTGTCAGAACTTCGTAAAGTGAGGATGTTGTGGAGTTTGTCGGGGTACTGATCACGAATTTTATCTAAGTTTTGATCACATATGTCTTCGTGCATTTAGGCCAGTTCGGGTCAGGTCAGGTCAACCAAACGGCGTCCTGTCGGGTCTTTATAGTAGGCATCAACAACCACTGACAGCTTCGTAACATGTTACGAAGGCACCAAAATTACTTGGTATATGTTCAAATCAGGGCTGCGGAGTCGATGGATTTTCGGCGACTCCGACTCCGACTCCGACTCCGGCTTTCAAAAACCAGCTCCGACTCCGACTCCGACTCCGGGCAGAATTGTCGACTCCGACCGACTCCAACTCCCGACTCCGACTCCGCAGACCTAGCAGGGCTGCGGAGTCGACAGATTTTCGGTGACTCCGACTCCGACTCCGGCTCGGGTTTCTAAAATCGACTCCGACTTCGACTCCGACTCCGGTCACAACTGTCGACTCCGACCGACTCCGACTCCGACTCCGACTCCGACTCCGACTCCGCAGCCCTGGTTCAAATGGTTGCGAAATTCTAGCTACAATGTATAAAATTGATAAACCTGTACTGAAAATGTCATCGCGATCGGCCGCTTTTTGCGCGAGTTATTCGCGAAAAACCCGAGGAAAAGGGGGGTCCCCTATAAGTGCGAAGGTTAAAATTGGGTAGCAGCGTTTTCCTATCGTCACGGGTAGCACGTTCAATTTTCTACCGCAAAGCTCCAGTTCATATTTCAGAGGCCGAGAGGCTGGGGTCCGACCGGCCCCTCCCCGTTTACGTTAGCTGTTATGAAAACGCCAATAAAGGGGCGACGGTTAGCGTTCGATCTTTGAACCCTGAGAGTCTGAGACCAAACAGGCGTGATGTCTGTCCCATCAAGGGAGACATTAATTCTAAGATAAGGCTTTCTCAGAGGCCCCCATTACCCCCCGCCGAGGGGCTCCATTACCCCCAAAGGGGGCATGCCCCACCATTTGCCGACCCCTGCCCTAGGGCATGTTGACCTTGTCTGACCGCAGGTGTTGGCAGCGCCCCCTGCACTGACCGTGTGAGGTGACGCGCGGAGGCGCTCGGACCGGCGCTAGTGGTGTGTCCAGCCTGGACTCCGGGGCCGCCGCTGTCTCCTCCGGTACTGGCGGCTCCAGCAGGGGGCGGTCCGGTGGGGTTCGACCTGCACGACATGGGGGGTCAATGCTAGAGTGAATGGGATGAAAGCAAAAGGGGACAGGGAGCCAGGAGTACGGGAGAGCAGCTGGAAGTTCCGAGACAGAAATGGAGCATCTCATATTGCAAAGTGTCGATGCGGCAAAAATAAAAAAGCTGTCGCCGCACAAATGCATGTCGCATGCTGCCAAGCACAATGGCTTGGTTGTTCGGTCGGTTGGTCGGTGTGATAGTTTATCTTACAGCAGTAGTTTAGCGGTCTTTATCTTATAGCAGTAGTTTAGCGTCACACGACCATATTCATGTAACCTTGGTTTGCGCCGTTGTTCGCCGCCCTCGTGTGAGACGCTCCTCTCTCCAGTGGCGGATCCAGGGGAGGGCAAAATGGGCATTTGCCCTCCCCAAAGCTAATTCGTGTGGGCAAGACTATCTTTTTGCCCCTCCCAAAGATGAGAAAATCTAATACGGTGTCGATGCCTATCTGGACGAAAAGCAGAACTTTCCGTGACGGTCATTCTGAAGAAAGGAGCTGACCGCTCGCTAATGATGATGTGAATCGTTATGCTGGTAAAAGATGGGACTCCCTCAAAGGAAATAGCTCACTTTTAATATGGGGTTTGTTTTGACCTGGAATAGCAGTTCCGTAGCTTAAAGGTAGTGTGCCACCTTTGAAAGATTTCCCATTTTATTTTTCCTAGGATAAGAAGCTTCTGTTTTTACCTAATATCGCAAAAAAAAATCAAAAATGGGCCTGGAATAGTGCCTTTTTCGCCTAAAAGTTTTTCGGTTTTTAGATATGTATAACTGTAGTGGGCTCACCTGCAAACAGGCGTCGGGCAACAATCGCGAATGCGGCGCACTTGTGACAATAAGCGAAGGTCATTATAGTATTACGACCATACGACGTACGGGAATGAGTTATCAGCTGTCTAATCGTAGACAACACAATGTCGAGCCTTAAACTGTAAGCCCGTATTGGTATTGTTTCTTTTATTTGGCTGTCGAACATTATTTATGGTTTCAAATATGATTTTATGTATAATAACTGATATGAAAAAGCCGTCTTATAAGTTATGACCCCATTTCACCACACGCAAGTGGCAGAAATGACAATGATCAGCTGACGCATTTTTCTTGGCCGAAGTCAGAGCGCGCGGCCCGACGCACCACGCGTATTTGGAAATTCCGACCTCGACGAGCATCAGAAGCCACCTAACAGGCGTGTTCGAAACCGCAGGAGCTGATGATGAACGGGTTTATCGAAACTTGATTGGATGAGCATATCGGTAATAGCGATTTCAGTGTGTGCATTTATTGTTCATAGTGGTGTGAAATGTGGTTGGGGTACGACCGACAACCCGTCGGGGCGAATTTCGCACTGGGGTACTCAAAATTTGAAGAATTTAAGACGTTTCTATGAGTTTTGAAGGTATGGATAAGTTCTAAAAATCCGGTTCTCCTTATCTGGGCCATTAACTCCATACGGTCTAAGAAAGCTGGCACACTACCTTTAACCCTCGCCGGCACAGGGGGAGGGGGGTTGATGCAACCCCCCCCCTTCGCGAATAACTCGCGTAAAAAGCGGCCGATCGCGACGAAACTTTCAGTACCCTCGCATTGATCAATTTTACACCTACCCTGAAAATTTCATGACCCTGACCCAGATGACCTTTGACCTGTGACCTCTTTTCCGAGACCATGTTTGGCCGGAATCGCGATTCGGCGTATGTCGGCTCGCATTAGCCGCGCTTTTGCAAGCTTTTCGTGGTTTCAAACGTTCAAATATGTGATTTGATGTTGCTCCCATACATCGACACCTTTTTTTAAACCCCACATTTGTTCTCCCGTGAAGTTCAGACAAGTTGTTTAGAAACCTTCAAAAAAGGTACAGTCACTCGATTTTTCTCAAGTTTGTCTGTCTTGGCGGCGGATCAAGCAATGCCAGAGCAAACTTACGAACACACAAATTTGATCAGGATCGGACGATTGGACACTTCTAAAAAGAGATCTTTCGTGCTTCCCGGAAATTCACCGGAGAACAGATGTGGGGTTAAAAAAAGGTGTCGACATAAGGGTGGGTGTCAAGGTCACCTGAAGGTCAGGTCAGGTCATTGACCTTTGGTGACCTCTGGTGACCTCGGTTCACTTTTTCGAGTTTTACATGTTTCTAAGCTAGTTTTTGGAGCTGAATTCGAATTTAGCAACCATTTTAACATTTACGAAGCAGTTTTGGTGCCTTCGTAACATGTTACGAAGCTGTCAGAGGCGGTTGACACGTATTACGAATACCCGTCACAACCCCTACCGGTTGACCTGACCTGACCCGACCCGACCTGGTCTAAATGCTTAAAGACATCATCTCTGATCAAAACTAACACGATATTCGTGATCAGCACCCCGGAATACCACATAGCAGCCACACTTTACGACTTTCTAACAGGTCCCGATTTTCCCGGTTTTCGGGTCATTGACCTGACCTGGAAGGTCACCCGATGACCTAGGACCTTAAAATTGGGTATCATCGGCTTCCTCTCGTGACGGGCAACATGCTCGTTTTTTCCGCGAAGCTCTATAGCTCGATCAGGGGCCAAACGCGAGGGGGGTCGTACCAACCCCCCCCCCTTGTGCCGTCGAAGGACGCAAAATGGCCTGTGCCGGCGAGGGTTAAGCTGAGACAAGCACAAATAAGGAGCTTTTACGGCCCAACGATCACCCTAGGCAAAGATATTCCATTTATCGTCCCGAAAAGTGCCTTGCTGAGGATGTCTGCCTTGCAGGGGCCATTCTCTCTTTTGCACCCTTTTAAGACTGATGAATTTTTCTCATATTAAAGCATAGAAAATAATATCTTTTTATAAAAAGGTTTTATTTACTTTGCTGATCTTTTTTAGCATACAAAAATCATAAATCCATTGCAAAAAAAAACAATTTCGTGAAAGTGAACTATTCCCTTCAACTGAATGCATGCTGGTGTAGTGTGTCATTGTAAAGTCGCTTGGTCACCGGTACGGCGGTGGGTCGGTGTCGCCGTATAGGTCGGAAACTTTTGCCCTCCCCAAACGGATCGGCTGGATCCGCCCCTGCCTCTCTCTATTATCGATCTTGAACTGACTCAATGCACAGTTGTAGAATACAGCTTTCTGAAGTATAAAAAGCGTATCAAGCAAGTATTCAGCAAGAGCACGTCTACTGCAGTCGGTCAGTCGTGTTTTGGTGTTAAAATGTAGTGATTTACTTCGCCTTCGGCGATTACGTTTAGCATGCCGAGCGAAAGGAGCATGCCGTCGAGCGTTTAGCGGTAATCAGTCAACTGATGTTAGTCAGTGGACCGTTCAGTCGCCCAGTCTGTCAGTCAGTCAGTCAGTCAGTCAGTCATTCGCTCAGTCAATTGGTCGCTAGGTCGGTGGCCGGTGTTCCGTCTAGGATCTCATTGATTTACCTCGCCTAGGACTGAGTTGCCGGACGTTCAGCCGTCATTAGTCAGATCATATGTCAGTCAATGGGTCAGTCGGTCAGTCAGTCAGTCAGTCAGTCAGTCAGTCAGTCAGTCAGTCAGTCAGTCAGTCAGTCAGTCAGTCAGTCAGTCGCTAGGTCGGTCTGCGCTCAGTAACTTACCTCGCCTGGGACTGAGTTGTCGGACGTTCAGCGGCGCTCGCAGAGGACTGGTCCGAGGACTCAATCGGCCCGTGAACGTTTCATCGACGGCCGAGGCTGGGGAGAAAAACAAACCGTCCGTCACAAGATGACCGCTACTCGACAGTGTTTGCGGGTTAACCCTCGCCGGACCTATTGGTTTTCTACATACGCGCCGGCCGAGGGGGGGGGGGCGGGTACGACCCCCCCCCTCGCCGTTTCGCCCCTGGTGGAGCTAGCGCGTCGCGGAAAAAACGAGCGTGTGCGCCGTTACGAGACGCAGAGATTGGTACCCGATTTTAAGGTCCTAGGTCAACCGGTGACCTCTGAGGTCAGGTCAAGTGCCCCAAGGTACGGTTCAGTTTTTGGTGAATAACTTCGCAAAAAACGGCCGCAGAGCGCCGATTTTGGCAGCATCGTGTTCGTCTCGCTCAGGCGCGTCGAATGATATATTTTTTGTCCGGGTCAGGTCAACTTGGGGTGTTGACCTCAGGTCAAGGTCAGGTCAGCACCCCCAGGTCACGAAGTTGGTCGAAAGAGGTCATGTCGCATATCATTCGATTCGACAGGTCTTCCTGAGTCCATTGGTGGCTTTACCGACTCGCTAGCTCAATTTGATCAAGAGTTATTGACGAAAAACTAATATGACCTTGATGACGTCATAAATGACGTCACGCAAGGTCAACATTGCAAAAGTGACGCATCTAACCTTGCAAGGAGTGCATAAAATCACGATTCTGTGTGCTTGAGATAGTTGGAGATCGTTCCCGGCGCCAGAATAGCAGTTTTCATTTTTCCCCATTGACTTATAATGGTGAGGTCACGAAAATGACCTGACCTCATATGACCTTTAGGAAAAATCCGAGATATACAAGTTGTGGGACTCATAATGGATACTAGATCCTGCAAGTTTCATTTCCCTGTGACATCTCCTCTGGCAGTGAGGGCGTTGCGAATTTGCGACATCTGAAGACCGTGCAGAGGTTCACTTATGACGTCATAGGTCAGTGACCTGACCTGACCCAAAAATTCGGTTGGTGTCAAAAGATGCGGCTTGGATCAAAGGTCAGGTATGCCAAGTTTCAGCTCTCTATCGCCAGCGTGTTCGGAGCTATCGCGAAAAAACCCTATGGGGGGGGCGGCACCCGCCCCCCCCCCCCTCGGCCGGCGAGGGTTAATTCGTACCACCCGGATATCGTAGCCCGTAGGATATCCGGGTGGCGCATTTTCCGCGGAAGAGTTCAGTAAGTTTTCACAAGCCTTGCAGGAGTCAATCATCCGGTTCGTGCTTTATTTAACAGCAAATGATAAACATTTTCCCTATCTAAGTTATAAGAACGAAAGACAAAAGGCTGCAACGTGCTGGACGCTCAAAAATCTTATTTGAATTAAACGATTTAAAAACTAATGATGCTACATTTTGTTGCCCTTATATGACTGATGTACCAATATATTGTTATTGTAATAATGAAGCTTTCTGTTTCATAGCGAGTATCGCCTTGATTTCAGAAACCAAGTCCAGTTCGCATGACCAACGAAAGTTTCGGTCATGTATTGGTCTTGACCTAGTTACCGAGCTGACGCTTCGTGATACGTGCCAACAATGACAAGTCTGTGGCCCTTATTACATAAATTACAAAAGTAAATATATGAACAGCGGGTCTTGACACACTTTATATTAACTGGGGACGAGGTCCTCAAAAAGACAACGAAAACGTAGAACAAGTGACCTAGTAGACGGCAGAGGGTGTCAATTCTGTGTGCATGTCGTACTCAACTGACTCGAATTTATGGCATAATATTAGCCTCCAATAAACCGAGCACTTGCAATGTTAACCTTCCGTATGTACATATAGTTATACAATACCTTTTTGTAGCGGGATGCAGCGCTGAGTTTGCAGAATATCCTGCAGGCACTGGTCCATCACCTGGCCTCGCTCTTTGGCTGCCAGAGGACGCAGGTTTGATCTGGGAATGACCTCCTGAAATGGAAACGGTCGCGCACTCAAAGAGACGGCCGAGTTAAACTGCGCTGAAATTAGCTAACACGTGCTTCAGGTGTTTTTTATCAGGACCAAGGTGGTCTGAGGTGATCTGAGTACCCTGACTCCAAGTCCAGCCATGTTACTACTACAAGCATAAGCTCTTACCATGAGCGCCAACAGCATTTATCATCCAATTATGCATTCTGATGGCATGCATTGCATAACCGAAACTGACTTCATTAGCTGAGTGGTGGGAAGCATACGAGCATTTCCATCAGAGCCGGTCCATTTTGGTCTCCATCGCGGTGCCTGAGGAGCGCTGCGATGGCCCGGTTATAAAACACGCAACACGCCGTCTGAATGGAGTGAATTGACCCCAGGGGCCGTTTGGGGGTGTAAAGTGAGTATAAACACGCTACTTGTGATATCAATTTTCTGACCTTTCTGGCGCCTACTGTTAACGCCAGACCCCTTGAGACCCTAATTTTTCGCGATTATTTTTAAATGCGTGGAATAATTTCAACCATATTTAGGAAGTAGCTGTTTCAAGACCTGCCGAAACTTTTTCTTCAAATACATTTTGTTGTCACTTAAATATTTGTGGCACATGTCATTGACTCGTAATGTTAACTGTTTTTCCATCCTGGATAGAGGCTTTCATACGTCATATGACTTAGGCTCCGCCCACGACTGCGGCATTGACCCGTGCCCATCAGCGACCTCTGTACAAACGACACCCCTGCCATCTGTAAAGGACTATGAATTTCGCTGACGCTTCACGCTCTATGAATCAATTGCAGCAGACGGTCAAGTAAATGTTAGGTTCTTGTTGACTCTTGTATATAGGACCAAGAGGACCATCACTCCTCAACCTACTACTCACACGTGCTTCGAACAAACGTTAACGATTCCTAACAAATACGATTTTTGATGTAGGATATCTGTTTGAAATACGAGCGAGCCTTATGATGTGAAGCGAAGGCAATAACTTATTATTGCGTTGTTCGATGGTTGCATAGCGATGTACAAATCGGCAGCTACTTGGTAACATCCGACATCCCATTATCGCATTATCTGCAACGCCATAGGCTTTAAATACAGGTGAATATTTCCTAACCCTATGTCAGGTATATGCCATCTGCCCGTCATTTGCAGCTTATAAGAAATGAAGCAAATATCAGCGAACATATCAGCATTGTACAAGCAATGCGCATTGAGCATTTATGGTTCCTCAGTCATCATGTCGCTCTTTGGGCACTGTCAGCCAAGACGTTACGCACAACTCCGCCGGCTTTCGGCACCGCTCGACCGTCCCTGCTCCCCGCCACAGCGAGAGTGACCGCGCGCCGGCCCGAAACCGCCGCAGGCCAAGACCACAGAGGCGGGGCTTAGCGGTGACGTCATAACGTATCACAGGCTGACTGGTGATAGCCTCTACACACCGGGTGAAAATCTTGCTGGAAATTTAACATTACGAGTCAATGAGAAGTGCCTGAAATATTGAAATGGCGATAAAATATCTTAATTGTAAAAGTTTCGGCAGGTCTTGAAACGGCCATGTCCTGAGCTTGGTTGAAATTCTTCCACGCATTTAAAAATAATCGCGAAAAATTAGGGTCTCAAGGGGTCTGGCGTTAACAGTAGGGACCATTCGTCGAACATTATTAGAGACAATATTTCATCTCATCTATTGATTTTGCAGCTCTACATATTCACTTATATAGAGGCTAAGCTCATGTAATTTTGCTTTTGCATGAGTGTTTTGCTTTTGCAATGGTGAATGGGGTGCACGCGATAAATAATGAGTGTCTTAGTGAATATAATATAACGTTTATATACTATCTAATCCAATGAACACGCTACTCATTACATTTTAGAAGACACAGGGAGTGATAGGCTGGCGTGCCACGCCGTTGCAAGGCTCAGTAACATGCCATGTGGTTTGACCTTTGGGCTCATTCATTATTTTCCTTGTCCTCGTGCATTCCAGCCTCGCAAAAACACGGTGACAGCAGCCCGACACAGATGGCTCTTGGCACTGGTGATACCAAGCGCAATGCGCATGTAACTATGTACGGGTAGTGATACCGCTAGTACAAACATGACTTACAGCATCGCGCTGTCGAGAACGGAACGGTACCTATCTCTCTGCCAGTTACATCTTTTAGATTTCCGCCCTGTCTTCCTAAATGACCACAAAATTTGCAATCGGCATTCCTTCCGTAGCACAAAATAGATTCTTCAGTAGACAGTAAACGTTTCATTAATTGCCCATAATGACTTCCTCAGTGACCCTAATTAGCCTCTTAGATAAACTTTTGAAAACCTCTCCTGACATCTTCATTGACCTCACCGCCGCGCTGACCTCACCAGAGGGCAGTGACCACCCCGGTAATCTTCCTTGGACCTTCTCAGTGCCACTTCCCCCGTTACCTCACCATTGACCTCTCGGAGATTTCCCCAGTGATCTCCCTTGTACCCTCCCAAGAGGATATGACGGGGAAGAACAGAGCCTTCGAGCATCCAAGTCCGCGATAATACAGCGGGAGCTGACGTGAAAAGAATGTAGCGTGCCGCGGGGACAGAGATATACGCCGCTAGTCCAGCGGGTATATATCCGTGGGGAGGCTTGTTTAACGAAGTAGATAGGAGTTCTGTGCCTTGCGCATCTGTAAATGTGGGGCGGGAATAATTATGCTCGTTATGTTCCTTAGTGACATGCTGAATAAGCTTTGAATCTCTTATGACCTGCCGTTGGAGAAATGTGAAAACGATTGTCTCACATTATCATCACAATTTATCTTGAATGAGTTATGAAGCCATAAACGTCAAGCTCAAGCAGACAGCTCCTTCCTAGTCACAGATGATAATAAAGAAAAGTCTAACAATTAACAAATGTTTGCCCATATCCATTTTCATTTCCAACTTTTGCTGGCGTTGTGGTCCTATCGGAAATGTACGTTCTATTCGGGTCGACGTAGTTGTCGCAGGAATGACGTCCTATGTAGGGTCATTACGCAATAAACGACAGCACCAAGTGTCATGGCATGCAATGAATACTGCAATACATGCAATGCACACAATACATACAACGATACGTGCCGGCTCGTGTAGGTCGTCGAAGCTGAACTTTTGCGAGGACCGCGGCCAAGGGATCGGCGGAGGACTGCGCACCAGGTGTGAGTGGATCTCCGCCAGGGCCAGCTGCCGGCTGTTGCCGGACTCCTGTGGGTAAAAAACGGTCGTCAGTGAAAAAACGAGCTTTTTGTTCCATAACTAAAAACCCTACTCGTTTGATTTTTTTTCTATTGGAAAAGAAACCGAAGTGGTCGGGCATTTTTGCAAAAACTACCTGAGATCATTATGAGTGCAGAGATGTAATGGACTACCTAAGCCCTTATCCGTCATTCCCGGCTCTTATGGAAAAGGACAATCATTATTGGATTGGCTCATGGCTGTAAATTGTACCTAGAGGTCGGAATTTAGCTGTGAAGCATTGAATGGCGCCCAGCAGACGGTTATATGTACATATAAGAAATAAGTTCTGCTTTTAGCACCGCATTTTCATCACATACAGCCACAATATAACATCAACACACCACACCAGCACTTTGAAACTGCCCGCGGAGCCGCCACCAAGCGTCACTAACCGTCACTACGAGCCTGGCGTCATCGGTTTCGTCATCGGGGGCTACCAGGTCGTCGGCACTGCTCTGAAGCTGCTGCAGGAACGGGTTGTCCTGCCGCGACATCTGCAGCTTCTGCAGGTCCTGCAACAGAGGGACAGTGAGTGACGTCATTGAGTGTGACGTAAGAGGTGGGATTCGGTGAAGATAGGTTCGGTGGAGGGCAAGATTCATGAGAAACACGAGTGATATGATATTTCAGTTGTTATAAATTCCAGAGGATGGGCTGATATTTTGGTATTGCTCGGAATTTAGATGCGCGTAGGATTGACCATAGTCGTATTGTTGCATTGTTATATTCGCCCAAAAATTAAAAGAATATTCACTGATATACTTAGATAGATTTAAACTCACAATTAAAGTCCGGCTGATCGGGTGAATTCTTTGGAGAGGGGCCCTCACCAAGCGGGTCGGGTCTTATTACGTAGGTCCGTTAGAGCCCACACAGCGATGTTGGCCGCATGGGCCATCGCCTTATAGCATTCGATCAAGCCCGCATAACCGGGCACAACTCCCCGCTGACGGATATCATTTTACACGTAAATTGGATGGCACACCATTGGCCAGAGGCTAAAGGAAATTGGGTTTGGACTCACGGATGCCGGATCAGTCTTTCTCTGCGCAGTCATAAGGATGAGCACTGAGCACATTAACACAGTGTGTTGACGGCCAGTTGCGTAGTGACCAGTATAACCTACAACACGTTTTGTATATTCATAAGGACATGATGTGAAGTTTGTTAATGTAATAAGTGAATGAGGACTTCACTCTGCACAAGAAATCGTTCGGAAACCGAACGATTATTTTACAGTACGCACATTATTTCATAGAAATGTTGACCGTGCAATGTGAAGTTGATTGCGCCAGCGATTCATTAAAATGAAGCATTGATAAGATCGATTCAAGACCCATTAGAAATTAAGAATGTGAAATATCGATTGAACATCGAAGCACGTTCAACATCTGTGTCTATCATATCAAGTAAATTGTTCGTGAAATCTGACCATCTAGTTTCTGGAACACAGTCACAGGGTTTCTCATCATCAGGCGGCACATGAGGCACGTGACCGGCCTAGTGTCGTCAATGATCTTATCACCAGCGCACACAAGAAGCCCTATAGAGTGTCGCCGCACGTTCCGCGAAAACCCTGACAGACGGTCTGACCGTGAAAGATTCTGACACTGTGCGGGAACACCCATGACAACGGTGTGGTTGCTGTTGCCTTGTGCCGGGAGACTGTACTGTACTGTCTCTGATCAGCGTCGCTTTTCAGCTTAATTTATTTTGTTCAGCCAATCGTTTACAAAAGAGACATCAGACAGTAACGAAAAGATAATAAGAATAACAACGATGTCTCAGAAATTGAGTTTCAATGACAGTTCTATGGTTGACGAGCTGTGGTGTTTGATGTTATCCTGACGTAAAAAGATATCCCGATCAAAAGCAGGAACCAAGGAACTATATAGATATATGAAAAGGAATTCCATCTCTCATCATTTGTGAACTCTCTTTGTTTCTAACGCGACACGGATCACTGTTGAGAGCGGGCACTTACGACTCATACGAGTACATCTTAGAGCTTATTTGAAGCGTCCGACCTAAGCGTCCGGTTCTTGCGGAGACCACCCATCCACTAATTCAAGGTAAAAGCACAACTGCTTTAAACGCCAGGGAGTGAAAACCCTGTGATCTGCAGCGTTTGCAGCCCTACTTACCTCCTCCATGTTAGCCATCATGTGGAGTTCTGCACCATCTCGGTCGGCGGGAGGGGACAGCGGCGCTGGAACGAGCCAACAAAACACACGCTGTCAACACGGAGAGCGCACACCTTATCAAATATCTCACGCGTCTATCACGACGGGGAACGCTAGTTGTAAAAAAAGTAGCCATGGCAGCCTTACAACGCCAGTCACATTGTCCTTAGACAACGGAAATAAGCAACATAAGCATATTTTTGACAAAAGCCTTCTGGTTTCAGTATCTATGAATACGTATGAAGGCACCCAGCAGATATGTGTTGGACGGAGTTGACTGGTCTCGAAAGATAAGGAAAGAGGATGGAAATACAATGGAGAGGGGAGCTTCGCGTCCGACGAGTGGAGGGTGATGAGTCATCCTAATCTGAATCATCCAGTGGGGTGCTGGGCGGAAGACAAAGGCGTAAAAGAGAGCTGACTAGTGGAATCTAAAACACAAAGGCGCGTAAGATTATAATTACATGGGAGACATGAAAAATGTTTCAAAGTAAAACAGATACGGCGTGGTATTTGACGTTAAACTTCACTTCAATATGCGATTATATCATACTTCACGTCCTTGCCAAGGGCTTGCTAATACAAAATCAAAGCAAGTTTTGAGTAAATTTTTTTTGTATTGTTAATTATTCAAGAGCTAAAAAACAGCTGGGCTGACAAGAGTTATGTAAGGCTCAATTAGCACGGCGCTATGGAATGTTGTCAGCAGAAATTAACGTCCAAAGCCACAGGACCTCCAACCTGGTGTCTCACAACATTCAACACATGTGTCATCAGGCATGCAACGGTAAATCCTAGTGATTTGGTACAGTCGCATGGTTCTAGTTTCTTGTTTTATCTGGTAAGCGGTATTTGATTGCATTGATAAAATACTCATGAGAATATCGATAAACGCGGCATGCAAGGCTGCAATTTTACGAAATGACCGTTATCAAAGGTACTGTGCTATGCTTCATAGAAACTCCTACACTAAACATGAAAACAGCAAAAGTTTCAGGAGTGTGTTGCCATTTTATGAAATGGTGCATTCTGAACGCGTAATATATAATGCATGATTTTCATGTCTGGTTTTGTATGCCATTTTTTACGTTTATTAATAAACAAGATATTTTCAAAAGGAACTGACCGAAAAATATATCCAAGACTGAAAATAGATATATTCGTTCAGCATTGACAAAGAAAAACTGACCAAAGGTTAAGCCATACGTCTGTTTCATCAAAAATAATTAATATTTTACTCGATGTCTGCTTATAAAATCTGTGCAATAGGAGAGCAGGATTATTTGTTCTTTGTGGTAGGTTTCTCCTCCACTGAACACCCGACAGACAGTCCCCGGAACTGCAGGCGTGAGCTAAGTGCCAGATCGTTAGTTCGTCTAACGCCCACATGCCGCAGGTCTTCTACTAAATGCGACAAACAAGTTCCGTGGCGATCTTCTTAGCCAGAATCGATTGGATCAGAGCGCCCACGCTGGTCGAGGATGCTGAGTGCAGCTGTGTCCGGACGGAGAGTCCCGATCGACGAACCGTGCTGGCTATGTTTGGTAATGAGCTTCGATAACCAGAACAACGTGAGCATGAAAAACTGTTCAAATTTTGCGTAAATCTTTGGTAAGCTTGGAGAAGAGGTAACACCATCTGTGCTGTGCGATGGATGATAATAATTTGGCTGTGTCTAGGACGTAGCAGCTGCCCAGGCTTTTTTCGCGTCGTGCAATAAACCTACATGTGTGCTTAAAGACTATATTTCCATGCACGTGATGGCATGTCGTCGGACGTCGTTGGCGAAATTTTATGGATATCCTTCGCTATGCGAGAAATGTGCTTGCTGGTACTAATCTAACTATAGGTCTGGATAAACGTTGCATTGTGTAATATCCAGCGATATATTTGAACATGACCAAAATATGATGAGGTTACTGAGGTGTGATACAGCGGACATTTTTGTTATATATTTCTATACTACTTCGCGATATTTTTATTTTTTGATCAAGTAACATATAGCATTACTTTTTATCATATACCTACCTAATTACCTACCTACTTGCAGTTTTACACAGTTCAATTCCTGATCATGCCGCCCGGCTCCAATTTCTTTTCTAACGTCACATCCACAAAAGCCCGGGTCCGGCGGCCGAGAGATATGCGATAGTTGCGTCAGAATTATTGAAAAAATATCACTCTGTCGCATCCACATTAACTCAGACTACGGTCGGAGATATATGTGACAGATGTGCCAGTCTTGACAGTCTTCTGACCAAGCAAGAGATAGAGCCTGCCGGAATGGGATTAGGCTCCCTGATGGACGCCGCTACGATATCGTCAATAGCTTTTACGCTATGTAGAAGAATAGGAAAGTGTAGTGAATAATGACACAAACATCGCAACATAACTTATTCTCTAATTGAATAACTACATGCCCATAGGTCATATTTCCACACCACATTCGAACACCAGCCAATACTTCGGTAAATGCTTTTGAACGCTGTGATTGGAAATGCAATTATCAGATAAGCCAGATTTCTCTAATCTATAAAGAAGTCTGTGGCCAGCGCATTTGGGAAATTGCGAGGAATTTGCTGACATCCTTTACCTGTGATTCCGTATTAAAAGCGAAATGTTTTGTGTTTGTGTCGTGTTTGAATAATGACGCTTAATCGTGTGAGGTTTCAAAAGTGTTTGCATTGTGCACCATAAGACTTTTGCATGTTATTATTGCATTGTTCCTGATTTCACAAAACAGTATCATCTCATACATCTAATCCTGATATCACCCACCCCCTATCCCCGATCCCATGTGCGTTTCAAGCCGTGCTCACACTAGCTCACTGTTTCCAGCGGCACTCACACCTACTCACCGTCTCCGGCGGTGCGCACCATGTGAGCAGGGTCGTTCTCATCCCGCTTCCGCTTGAAGATGCTGGAGAAGAAGCCGTTCTTCCGCTTCACGGTGGGAGTGGCAGCCTGCTCGCCCATCCTGGTCGGCATCCCCGTCGGACCTGCGACCATTTCCACGTCAGGCGGGATCTGTGCAGGGTCCATCATCCCCCACATGACGCCTCAAACTGCTGCTGTTCATAGTCGGACCTCATCAGCTGGTGCATACAAGTGTTTCGTTAGACGTCGCTAAGGAAACTCGGTACATGCAGACAGACACACATACCGTATACGCATTCATGGTTTAAGTGTTTGCGAGGAGTAACCCATCCCAGAGGCTGGGGTGGGGGTGGGGGGATCCACGTGACTGCCGGTAACACACCTTATTATTTATCGCCACCGGGGCAACAAAGATCACCACACATTCCACACCCGTTCAACATGACACTAACAAAGGCCACGGGAAAACTGAGATACACTAACCGAATGGATAACTCCAGCGGCTTCCTCAGTGACTGAGAGGAGCCACTCACCTCTGGATGCTGCGGAAGAGCCGAGTCGGTCGGCGGCGACGGCGACGTTCCACCGATGATTGCCGACGCGGCCCGGCGGCGGCACGCCGGCGCCACCGCCGCCCCCCGACGAAAATCGATGTCCCGTCGCACACAGGGCCGATCGCCAGGTCTAGCACGACATGGGTAAAAAAATCGAACTTTGTGGATGTGCAATGAAACCTATACCAATTTGTTCAAAAATGATCATACTACATTACTGTGGTCTTTGTTTTCCAACACAATGGCTATTTCATGGCGAAAACTCAGCTTAAACACGAACTTCGGAATCGTTTGGACCGAACTCGTCCCCCGCACTCTTCGACAACGTATCTTTGATCCACAAAAACAATCACAATTTGAGGAGGAATTCCACATTTATATACATCAAACGATAGCTCCGGGTCTGCAGAACACACCTAACCACATGAAAATGGCGAACTCTTACTTGGTTATGATGTATTGGCACCGCAAAGATTTAAAGACGAAAATATAATTTCACATAATTGATGTCACACACAAATAGACTTTTAAAAAAAGTACCGCAGAGTACCGCTTCGAAAATCTCACTACATGTCAATGATTCATTGCACTACAAGATCCGACAGTCATTTTTTGCGACTTTTTGCGACTTTGGATGTAGCAGCCAAACATCAACCCGCGCCGGACCGGTGCTCGGCGTCAAACGCGCCGGGCCGGGAGGTGTTGATTGAACACTCCCCTTCTAACTCGGCTCTTGGGCCACATAGCGACACGTAGTAAGTGGCATTCGAAAGAGCGCCCGAAATTCCAGATGGAGTAATTAGTCATTTCTAGGTCAGGTCAAAGGTCACGTCACCAGAGGTCATCAAAGGTAGAATGTTGCATTTATCAACATTTATCGAAAACCGGCTCTTACATCGGGGACCAATAGAGCTACATCGTTGCGGAAAAGTGCATTCAATTGCTCTTTTAGCGGTCTTTCTGAAATAAGCCCTCAGATTTGGCTTAACCCTCGCCCCTAGTGGTGTTTTTCCAGCCGCGAACGTATAGAAGGGGGACCCCCCCCCCCCCGCCGTTTCGCCCCTGATCGAGCTAGAGCTTCGCGGAAAAGACGAGCGTGTTGCCCGTGACAAGAGGAAGCTGATGATACCCAATTGTAAGGTCCTAGGTCATCGATTGACCTTCCAGGTCAGGTCAATGACCCAAAAGTCGGGAAAATCGGGACCTGGTAGAACGTCGTAAAGGGTGGCTGCTATGGGTTTTATGGGTGCTGATCACGAATATAATATTATTTACGGTCATAGATGATGTCTTCATACATTTAGGCCAGGTCGGGTCAGGTCAGGTCAGGTCAACTAGTAAGGGTTTTGCCGGGTATTTGCAGTAGGTGGCAACCGCCTCTGACAGCTTTGTCACATGTTACGAAGGCACCAAAGCTACATAGTAAATGTTCAAATGGTTGCTAGATTCGAATTCAGCTCCAAAAACTAGCCTAGAAACATGTAAAACTCGAAAAAGTGAACCAAGGTCATCAAAGGTCAATGACCTTACCTGACCTTCTGGTGACCTTGACACCCATTCTAATGCATGGGAGCAACATAATATCCCATGTTTGAACGCTTTAAACCAAGAAAAGACTGCAAACCCGCGGCTAATGCGAGCCGACATACGCTGAATCGCGATTCCGGCCAAACATGGTCTCGAAAGAAGGTCACAGGTCAAAGATCATGAAGGTCAGGGTCATGAAATTTTCAGCTTAGCTGTGAATGTAGTTATCGCGAGGGTACTGAAAGTTTCGTTGCGATCGGCCGCTTTTTACGTGAATTACTCGCGAAAAACCAAGGGTTCCGTTCGAAGATTCAGGCCCTGTCGCGCTAGCATGGCATATCGGCCCACTGTGCGTCGTTTGGAGCGGACGCCGACGGTCGATGGCTGGCACTGGACCATCAGACTGGACCGGGCCAGGCGGGGGCCCGGGACCGGGTCCGGATTGGGCACCGGGGGCAGAAGACACACACTGAACAGAGCACATATCACGCAACACATCACTTTGGAGGATTAGAGACAGACTCAGGGAAGACTAAAAGTCCTAGGAAAGCAGAGGAAAGAAAAGGTTAACAGACTGTATATAGCAAATGTGTCAGAGCTACTCGTATGTAGATCGGGACCGGGCTTATGTAAGGATTACAACAATGGATATACGGCGTAAGGGAATGAAGCGTGGTAGATGCAGAGTGGGCAAATCATATCTGAGTTATCAGGTTATATGAAACGGTCTGCCCTTTGATCGGAGACAGATCGGATACTGGGCACTTGGAACAAGCGTCTAAATGGATTGAGACATACCTTCGCCCCTGTCGGTCCTAAAAAACTGCCGATACCCAGCCCACAAAGAAACGCTGACCTTCACAATCATCAATTCAAGCTGACCAAAAGCGTCGGGATGTTGACAGGAACACATATACTCGTACATAGATTCAGCAAGGCAGAGCATATCGGAAATTGTTAGGGTAACAAAATTGGAATTCAATAAAGCCAAGGTGTGGCAAAAAAAAAAACATTATGCAAATTGCAAGGTGGCATCTGCGATTGAACCATGTATAATGTCAATATTACGGATCACATAATCCGTGTCGATACTTTGTTACCTTGTTGAAGATGTTTACTATGTTGAAAGTGGGCACCAACCCGTTATTTCAACGTCTCTTTTTTCGTTTTTTTTTTATTACTTCTCTCCCTCTCTCGTCCGAAGTCGTCTCACCCACGGTTGTGGCGGATTAGGAGCGCAACCGAAAAATGGGTGAGTACGGCCAATAACAGCCAAACTGAATGGGTCGCAGCACGGGACACAGTAGCGACAGAGAGGAAACACTTACAGAATAATTGCGATATTATTGTGATGATAATCTATGGAAGAGCTGAGAAATGTTTTTGGTAACGTTTGTCCAGTGAAATGTGAGACCTTCGTCAATCTAACTTTCGTGCATGTTGAGACGAAGTGCACCGACCAGCACTTTTCTGACGGTCGACCGGAACGCCCAGGCAGTCACGCACCCGTTTAGTTTACGTTGGCGCCACTAGATGGCTCTGTGCGTCTACGCCTGAAGGTATGCTGTGCCGCACTACTCAGTGTCGGAATTCGCAAAGACGGCATCAAATGCCGTTTGATGCAAGACGTGTGATATATGAAATTTGCGAAAGAGAGGATGGTTTTCAATGAAGGCTGGCAATATCTATGAAGTGCACATTGATAACATTTAGCTGATAAAGCGTCGCATTTGTTGGGAGGCTGGATCGTTTCAAACGTAGTAGACAGCCATGATGGAGATCTTTATAACAGCTTATTCAATGTCCCTTTGTATGCGAATGCATAATTGATCGACTTATCTCGCCTATGCAAGCACTTTGCATTATGTATTATACAGCATACGAGGTAGGTAACCTAAGCAGTAGCAGCGTGAGGACACAATCTTCCGTCCGTCGGGTGCGTGCTGTGCTGGAGATGGATGTACGACAATGACGATGACAATGACAATGTTCGTATGACGATAACGAACTTCTAATGTCTGCAGCTTATTCCAAGGAATAGTGGCAGCATAGCTCAACAGGTGTACCTATAATGGTAAGCTTATAAGTTAATAACACAGCACATGATGTGACTTGCTTTTGAACCAAACCGCTAAATCAACCCTGAACCAAATCTTTGAACTGTTTGGCACCTGTTTGGTTTAGGGCCTTCACCCGAGTAGAGTAGCGTTAGCACCTAATGCAATAAAGCGTTGCATTAATTAAGTAGGTATAGGCATTCGTTCGAGACAAATGTCATTATATTTCGCGGTGATTGGTCGTCACAGACAACTTCCGCCAAAAGTGATGAATTTATTGCAAATGGGCTCTGTAAGCTTATGTAAGACTTAATTGGAGCCAAACACGTTGAACATTGAATGGTAGCATTCCATGCTGGTAATATTCCATGGGCATACCTAAGGAGGTCTGTAAATGATATATCTTTTTTTTATTAAATTCGTTCATCTTTCTTAGCAAAAAATCCCTGCAGAAGATGCAAGTTAACCCTCGCCAGCCGAGGGGGGCGAGTACTGCCCCCCAAAGCTTTCTTTCGCGATAGCTCCGAACACGCTGGCGATAGAGAGCTGAAACTAGGCATACCTGACCTTTGATTCAAGCCGGATCTTTTGACGCCATTCGTATTTTCGGGTCAGGTCAGTCATAAGTGAACCTCTGCACGGTCTTCAGATGTTGCAACTTCGCAACGCCCTCACTGCCAGAGGAGCTTTCACAAGGAAATGAAACTTGCAGGATCTAGTATCCATTACGATTCCCACAACGTGTATATCTCGGATTTTTCCTAAAGGTCATATGAGGTCAAGTCATTTTCGTGACCTCACCATTGTAAGTCAATAGAGAAAGTGAAAGCTGCTATTCTGGCGCCGGGAACGATCTCCAACTATCTCAAGCTCACAGAATCGTAATTCAATGCACTCCTTGCAAGGTTAGATGCGTCACTTTTGCAATGCTGACCCTGTGTGACGTCATTTATGACGTCATTAGGTTCATATTAGTTTTTCGTCAATAACTCTTGATCAAATTGAGCTAGCGAGTCGGGAAAACCACCAATGGACTCAGGAAGACCTGCCGAATCGAATGATATGCGACATGACCTCCTTCGACCAACGTGACCTGGGGGCGCTGACCTGACCGTGACCTGAGGTCAACACCCTAAGTTGACCTCACCCAAACAAAAAGTATGTCATTCGACGCGCCTGAACAAGGCGAACACGTTGCTGCCAAAATCGCGGCTCTGCGGCCGTTTTTTGCGAAGTTACTCACCAAAACGGAACTGTATCTTAGGGCACTTGACCTGACCTCAGAGGTCACCGGTTGACCTAGGACCTTAAAATCGGGTACCAATCTCTGCGTCTCGTTGCGGTGCACACGCTCATTTTTTTCCGCGACGCGCTAGCTCCACTAGAGGCGAAACGGCGAGGGGGGTCATACCCGCCCCCCCCCCCCTCCTCGGCCGGCGCGTATGTAGAAAACCAATAGGTCCGGCGAGGGTTTTCAATATATAAACAGCTACCTGGGCGGTAGCTGCTGCTCTGCGTGCAGATCACTATGCTGCCGCTGGGTGAACACTGCAGTGGCGAGCCCGAACGGGCAGCGACAGGGGCGCCACCTCGCTAAGGTCCATACAGGCCGGCAGCGTCATCTGCCCAACGCTCTCTGAGCAGTGGCCTGCAACGCGCAAGCGAGTTGCGATGTGCTCAATCGTTACCGGCAGTGGGCATCGAATCGGATAAATGAAATGATCAAGACAAATAATGACCCCGTGTCCCATAAAGCAATTGCCAGATGTTGCCAGCCCTACAGATAAATTGTTGGCCTCCTCTTGCTATCTCCGAAACTATTTGAGTTATTTCACTGACGACATTTTTTTTTATAAATTTAGTTCGAACCTTTTGAATGGAAGAATTCACAAGGACAGAGCCCCCGCTAAGCGATTCTTGCTGTGTTGACCTTGCCCTCTACCCTCCGATCGTGCAATTCCGGCTCTATGGCAGAATCTAGAGTCCAAAGTTTAATGTGCGCACATAGCCGCGCACGGCCGGTCCCCTCACTGACTTCGCCTAGCTACGGCCTGCCACCAACCGCAACCATATACCTATCAGGAGGCTCATAAACGTCAATCGCCCGTCGCGCTTCGAACCCGGACTGTTGTAACCGGGAACGCGTGCTTTCACTACGCGGACTCCAACGCTTTACCAACTGAGCCCCGGCAACAATTGGCAATTGCAATTTGCAGTCTTCTGAACACTGGCGGATCCAGCCATTTTCAAAGGGATGGGCCAAAGCCGGCCACTTTTTGGGCACTTTATTATGGTTACTGGGATGTAGGCATCAATTATCCCAAAAAAAATCTTTGGCATAAGCTTAGTCCATGCTAGGACAAATGTCTGATCGAAACATTCCACATAGGTACATTCATTCGACATTCAAAATTCAAACGAGCTCAAAAGATCAAAGTTCCTTTGTCAGACTAAAGGTCAGGTAGGCATCCGAAGGTTATCGATGACAGATTTATTCCGCTGTAGGTGAACTTAGACTAACTGGGATTGGAAATATTTTTTTTTTTACTTATCCTGCTTGCAATGCTGCCATCTTTTAGGAATTGCGGGTCATGATGGGATTTTAGAGGGATTAATTCTCTTTGGAAGGGGCCCACTCACGTTATGGCCACCCCCAGTCATGACTTTGGCCCGGTTGCCCCCTCCCCCTTGGATCTGACAATGCTTCTGAAACCTTTACCAAGCGACCCAGCTTCAATGACCTAAATGTGTAAAAGGACTTCACACTTCACAGGTCAGTTTAAAGCGACTTTTAGATATCACGAATGCTTCAGACATGATGATGCTGAAATGCATACTTTCATAATTCATAATTTTCTATCGATAGTATATTCTTGTCTTTTTCAATGCATTGCTGTCTTACATGGACCAGGAAGGTCACACATATCAGGCTACAAAGGTGATATTGATGCAAAACTTTATATAGGTCATGTGACACATAATTTAGTGCCAATTTCACACTTCAACTTCAATGACGAGGCTCTCCCGAGAGATGAAGAGGCTTGACCAATAGGGACAGTGTATGTATATGGAGCTACAACAAATCGTTTCAATCGCATAAATCGTAAATTGCATCAATGTATCGCAGTAATCGAAAGAGATTTAGAAATATTATACACAAACAATTATTTTCAATGATAATGCTAAAACAGTAACGTTGGCTAAGCTTGGAAGAATATGTAAATGTTTCGGTCCATCTTTCAAAGGGATAACAGGCTAAAGATGAAATAATATGTTAATCAACGCAACGTTCATATTATTTGGTAACTTTCACAATCGACAATGCAGAGTCGATTAATTTTGCGAAAAAGCATGATCAAAGCGCCGTATTGCTGAAACCCAAGCTTGCCAAAAAACGAGTTAAAAAGGCTGCTTCCTGACCGGCTAAACTGTGGATAACAATTCCAGAGTGATGAGATGTAATCGTCTTTTTATTTCCATCGAAATGCGGAGCCGCAAACAAATGGGAATCCTGCACACACGTGAGCCGCCACTCATTTATGGACTGAACAGAATGCAGCTGAATATACAGCTAATGACTGAACCATGTTTAATCACGCACATTACAATTACCCTGCTATCTGTCGCCGATCGACGCGCTCTCCATAGACGGTCACGTGTCACGGGTCGGCGCCGACCGTCGGTGGGGAGGGGAGGGGTCGACGGCACGCGTCGGCCCCGTCGCGGCGGCTCGTAATCCGGCGGTGGGGTCAGGTTTCGGCGGGCTCGGGCCGGGCCGGCAGGCCCCATCCGGTTCAAACACCGCCGCCGGCCGCCGTGTTGATTACCGAGGGCTGACATAATCAGCGAACGGGAACGGAGCGGAACGGCGCATCGGTGTGGCGGCGGTCCCGCGGCAGAGGTGTGCTCGCGAGCGATGAGGCATTGGTAATGAACGGGCTGAATTATTTGTTTAATGTCAATGTTTTGTGCTGCATCGTGTGAGACGATGAACAGTAAGAGCTTTAATTACAAATGATACATCATGGATGAATAATTTGTTGATGGAGTCTTCAACTGCGTGTTTTTCAGTGTCAATCCACTTAGAAATGTTCGGTGAGAGCCAAGGCATTGAAAGGAGCGAGTCATTTCTTCGTGTTTGCAACAGAAGTTGCCCTATGGCAAGCTGTGGCCGAGCGCTTTCAGTGTTTTTTTTTCTTCTTCTTAGATTTCGATTCCTCTTATAGCAACTCTTCTCAAATTCTAGACCAAGACATCTTATGGGCGACGAGTGAATAAAAGTAATAGTGATAAGTGAGCCCTGCACGTGCATACGTGCAACTTTCAGTGTAATCAACCCTGCTATTCCTGAGATGTAAAAGCGGCTCCTGGACCTGGGTACGGTTAAATATTTCCCTGAAACATGATTTTTTATGCTGAGTAGTTTGCAAAAGTACTATGATAGCCAGAAAAGGAAAAGTGATTAGTTTTCTGATGGCAACAGAATGCATTAAATAACCTTCTGAGCTCTTGAAGTGCGTCTTTAGAAAATATACGAAGAAAGTGAAAGGAATGAATCAGAAATCAAAATAAAAAAGAATAACTTAATCCAGCTATAATATTGAAACGAGACGAAAAGAATCTACTTTCCAGCCAACCTAATCATCTCTCAGTGGAAACGCCGCGCTAAATTACAGCGTATGCGATTATTCGGTACTTAGGCAGCAGCTATGCAAACGGATCGCTTTCACATGACACCGCGACAGACACGAGCACCGACACCACCCGAACAAAGCTGCTCTTTTCACGGTGGTGTCTATTTAACATTCCTATTCTGATCGACCCTCTGTGCCCTCCCTCCCCAGCATATACCCAGCGTCTGTTGATCAGCGACCTGCGATCCGCGCCGGGGCGGCAGCCGGGCGGCGCGGCGGCCCGCTCGCGGCCGGGAACCGCCGCCGATCGGTCGGGGATTATCTCACCTGCAGGAGCGTCCCGTCCGGCGTCCGGCGCGGGCCGCGGGCCGCTCCAGTTTCCCGTGTCCGGTGGCCGCGTGTCGGCCTGGCGCTGGTCACCTGGCGCACTGCGGGTTCGGTTTCACCGCCGGACGGCTGAAAAAAGCGGCGTCCTGTCGGCGAGGATGGCGCCGATAGCGTCCGCTCAATGAGGATCAAATGGGCGGCCTAAAGCCACCTGGGCGGGTTAAACAGTGAGATTATCAGCCAGGAAACTGGTGGAAGTGGTGGGTTATGTTTCGGGGTGGAAGTCGGGTGGAGTCAGGAGCCTTTGCGTTGATTTCATTATTTTGTAGCAAAAAAATACTTATGATATGCAGTTCTATTGAGGAACAATGCTAGGATATAGCAAAAGGTCATGAAATGGTCATGGAATAGAAATGCAACATGATAGAATGGAGGGAGAAAATAACATCAAAGCCTGACGCGTTTCCAGAATCTAAGTCAACTGATCTTTGTCAGGGCCCTTGAGGCTGCGATGAAAAGAGTCAACTCATGACACAGGGACAATTTCATTTTATAAAATTTAGTCCGCATGATTGAATGGATGGTTACCGGACCGGCTGGCCGGTAAGCGGTGCATGTCACGTGGCTTTAACGACCCACCACCCGACCAAATCGCACACGCCCAGTTCACGAAATTTGGAACCGTCCAAACATGGCAGTTTGGTACACATGTTAGCCATCACCCCTTCCGACTTTAATTTTGCAAGGCAGGATTCTGAGCCAATACCGTATATCGTAGATGAGACGGCCTCACTTGACGGTCACAGGCCTTTTCGGAGACACTTCTGCTTCCAAACACGGCAAGGCATGAACGTTATCTTTTTTGCCGTTTTCAACCAAGCTACATAAGTCACATACTTTTTTGTCACCTTCCGCAGCATTTTGTGCAGCATTAACCTTTAGATGTTATCGAGAAAAAAGCCCCTACCCCTTTTCAGCACAAGATAGAACTGCCACGCCATAAAAGATGCGTTGAGACAAATATTTGTCCAGCACCATTGTGCCAGCTTCGCTTAGAATAATGGAGGAAGGCAAAAAAGGAAGGCAAAGAGGACGGCAAAATTAGTAAGAGAAAGTGCTCATTATCCCATTCACGGCAAGAGACGTGAATGGGAACACCTTCTTTGTGGAGTGGCTATAGTCATGGATTTAGGATTACCTACGCATGTAAATTTAGGTAACTACAAACGAATTTATAGCCACTCCTAAAGTCGATAACAACCACGATGTGCTGCAGCGACAAATGTAAAACGGAGCCAATAGGCATATCGAGGCGCATTCAACTAATATAATCGACCATGACATGTAGCGGACAAACCTATCCGTGCTTCTATCCTCAGGATACTGAAATCCTTCTCCTCCACGCCACTACCCCCTTCCGGGCTGGGCAGGCAACTTTATCTCATGCGGGCTGCTCCCTTGGAGCGGCACCGCTGCTCCCGAGGGAGCGCACCCCGTAGCCGGGTGCAGTGAGTGCCTTGGGGCTGGGTGGCCTGTCCTCTGGACGGGCTCAGCTCCGGCGACTCACTAGGGTGCCTGCCCAGACCTATGTCTCCCCCTAATTCCTATCATCCTTCCGGCTCTGCAATGGTCTTGTCGACCGAAAGGGCCTAACCCAACAAAACAAAAGTAGCGGACAAAACATCAAACAACCAGTTCAATAACCGCGTTGGTAACAGACAGATTAACCGCTCTCGATCGAGGTGCACCTGTGACTGCTCTGACTCCACTAAACCACTAACAAAAGACCGCACACAGGTGACTCTCCCCTTTGCCCACCAATTACTCCCATCATCGGCACCCTGATCCCATAATCGCTGCCGCTCTCCGCGGACCCGGCGTGCGCCCCGGCGTTACAAAGCCGTCCACCTGGCGTGCGGCGCACTGCTCTGGCTCTGTGTGATTGTAACCCTCGCCGATTACCACGCTAATCATTCACCGGCTCAGAGCAGCCCTTCCGACGGATGCGCCGGCCCAGAGCACCCATTCAGACAATCAGAAAGACAAACAGGGAGCGTGACGGTCCGGGCCGCGCCGGGCAGGGAGGAGGCGGCGGCGGCGGCGGACCTCTGACGTCACCTGGACGGCGGCGGCGGTAGATCCTATTAGCGCCTGTCCGCCGGTAAGATGACACCGGCGGTCGCTAGTGGCGGGCGAGCCGGCGGCAGGCGTGACCGCAGCTGCCGATCAGGGGCACAGACAGGGCCGGCGAGGGGCCGCCGAGCTCACGGGACAGTGGCCAGGGGCGCAGCGGCCGTCCGCCAGTCCGTGCGTCCGTCCGTTCTTGTCCGGTGGTGGGCCTGCGGGCCGCTCGTGTCGCCAAGGTGGAGTGTCGGACGGACGGCCTGGAGGAGCTCCAGGTGAGAGCAGAGGGGTCACAAGGGTCGGGAAGGTTACAGAGATCGGGGAGGTTACAGGGGTCAGGGAGGTCTTAAAGGTCAGGGGGTTACAGAGGTCAGAGGTCACAGAGATCGGACGTCACAGAGGTTGCAAGAAGGTGATACCTAAATACGACAGAGCCTGAGATGTTAGCAGGGTTGGGATTATCGAGGACACGTCTTGTTCCTTGGGCCGCATGTCACTGATTGATTGAGGATCACTAAAGACACCTTTTGACTCATGTCTGGAGATCGTTGATGGCTCGTCTCGACTCAATGATCGGGGTATGGGTGAGGACACTTCTTGTCGTAATGATTTTAATGATCGAGGACACGTCTTGCCTTCACTGAATGGCCGGAGATGGATAGGGCGTTGAATCGTCTTCCTATGCTCGCCGCAAAGTGAAACACAAAATACTTTTTGTAATAACACGCTAAGTCTGTCCAAGTTAGAACGTTTAATATTTTCTGAAATATCATTTTACCGCAGATAAGTTTACAAGGTCCGGCATGGGTTTTGTCATCTAAAAAATGGTGCTCTCTAAGTTATAATAATTAGAGGTAACGATTATTTGTAGCGTTCTGTACATTCCCCACGGGCAGAAAGTTACCCACGAGCACCATTTGTCACGCCGGCAACCAGGTTGTGGAGCACAAGTGGCTTGATTTTCGACCGCGCCCGTTTGAGTTTAACTGCAGAGTGCAGGGCGACGAGGCTGGTCACCAGCTTCCGTTTGTCCAGGTCCTGCTGGACGATAGCTGCACCCAATTCCCTCATATAGGCGATGGCTTCCACTTTGAAGGATGGCTCTCCCTATTAGAGTTTGTCCGCACCTTTTTTCAGGTGGACAATATGTGTGAAACTGGCCGTAGCTCGGTGACCCATGATCCGAGATCCGTTCGTGGCCTCATGTCCCGCGGTCAAAGACCGTACCATAAAGGCCAGGGGTGCAGCCAGAATCGTTATTTCTCAGGGGTATCAACGATTAGGAACCGGAAAGTGTTGTCCGCCATAGGTAGATGACAAAGCCTTTACCGGACCCTGTATCTCGATGTTTAGTAGGAAATAACGACGCTTACGGCGAACCTATCGGTTATACATACGAGTGCATACATCATTCAGCCGGTTGGTGTCATAATAATCGTGCGAGACAAAATAAGATGGTTAAATTACAATCAAATTTTGTTATCAAATAAAATCCTTTTGACAATTAATTCAATGTAGAACAGAATGCTAGGACGGTACATGCTTGTAGGATTTTGCAAAAATCGCGCTTAAAGTCACGCTGCGACTATCCCGATTTCGCAAAAAGAAAGAAAAGCAAAGACACAGTTAAAACTTTTCTTCTGGAAAATAACATCAGGCTCCCAGGGATACCAAGAATGTTTCGGAATACGAGCCAGTTTTTTTTTCAAATTCGATAATGCAGATGCCAATCGTACCACATGAAATGATGAACAGACGAAGCTATAGATTGGACTAAGCATGGCTTGTTGCAAATAGACCCCTTGTCTTTGATCACAAAGCTCGAAGTAGCTGCTTTTGTTCTGACTTAAACATGTCAATGAAGTAGCAGATTTTATCTTTGATTCTAAAAGAGTGATGCATTGATGACCTGTTTACCTTATTTATTCAATTCCCTAGTCCTCCGTCCATGACACATTTGCAAGCTGCCATTATGATCACATAATGATCGTAATGATGAATAATGAATATTTGTACATAATTGTGCAATGTAAGATGAGCATTACGCATGCATTGCTAAATGGCGACTTGCACAATGCACATTCCTCGCTTATGAGAAAAAATCCGAAGCCATTTATAGCTGTCGGGATACCCGTCCACTTATGCGTTTAATCAAACATTTTCTAAAGCCTTCTGAAAAGCATTCGCCCGGCTACTTCTAAGGGTTTTGTTATTTTTCGACCAGTAAGTAGAATCATATCATGCAGGCCACGGTGGAAAGCAGAGGCAAAATACAAAATGTCGGTGAAAATAGACAACCCATGGAATTCGTTATAGTGTTCCGGTTAGCACTAGTGAAAGAAAAAAACACTTCCCAAACTGGCTCAAATGGCAAGTGTTAATGTATGTAATGGATGCTACTTGTATGATATCATGTTGAGTTGCAGCTCGTCTGTCCACAAATTTCAAAATTATAAACGACAAACCTTATTTCATTTTATTTTGTTGGTGTATGTCCACGCTTTCCTTCCATGTAGTTATATTTTTCCAGGCGGTTTCAATGATTGAAGCATTTAGAGATTTAAGTAACACGTAACACAGTGTTCTCGAGCACAGCAAGATTTCCGGGCTTCCGGCGACTTTGCACTGGCTGAGATGAAAGATCTATTCCCAGTCACCTCTCAAATTGCTGTTTATGGTGCAAACAAACTTAACCATCTCGTCCATAACTTCCTGTGATATTCAGAAACCCTAGACGTCCCCTTCTTTGCGCACTTTGTAGATCTGTCAGTTTAGGTATTTATGAAATGCTTATACCAAACGAGCAACGTGCTAACTATCTTGCTCACAGCACAGGTGATGGCGCTACTGTTATTGTTGTTGTTGTTGTTGTTATTGTTGTTGTTGTTTTTCGCATGCACGATCAAATGCGAGTAAGGTTTTCAGTAAAAGTCATTGTTTCATGTAAAAGTCAATTTCGCTTGAAACGGCACTCGTTTTTGCAGCTATGTGTAACAATCATAGCACATGCGTTGCAATGTGTCTGCTATGAAGTTGTGTCTATTAGTGCAGACCCACCCGCTACTATCGCCCAGCCGGAAGAACATCCTCTCGGGCGTGGGAACCCCGGGAGGCTGCACACGCTCCATTCGGAAGTTTATCCCCGAGACAGGGCGGAAGTGGGTGTGGTTCTGATTACAGTGGACGTTTCTCCGTGGGCGTTACTCTGAAGTGAACTGACCGTCATGCACTGCACGTAGCTTCCGTACGGCTTGGCTACCGGTGGGCGTGCCTGTGCCAGTTCTGAGTAGGATAGATAGAGAGGTCGGAAATGTGAATAAAATCGGACGCAAGCGGTCGGCCGAAAGACACCCAACGCCGTTAGACCTAAGGTGCAGCTACATAGGCACATCGAGACCTCCAGTGAGGGTAGGGGAGAGTGGGGTAATTTGGCCGCTTTTTTTAGAAAACGATATAACTTAAAATTGACGAAACATTTCTGCATTTTCTCAACGCTGGCAGGTGTCGCATTCATTTTACTTTACTGGACAGTGAACTTGAAATGATAGAGTAATTACTTATATTGAAATTGTGACGTATTACAAAGGTCTGCAAGGCGGCCAAATTGCCCCACTAGCAGGGTTATTTGGCCGGGGGTGTGGGGCAATTTGGCCGGTGTTAGTTTGCGGTCGGGATTTTCTGTTATATTGCGAGTCAGCTTCAGATTCAGCAATGACGTGTGTCCTATGACGCATTTGCCGCATTTTGGAGGTTGACTCAGGGGTCACAGGGGTCAAAATAGCCAAATTAGCTGCTCTAGATGCGATCACAGTTTTTTACGAATAACTTTTGAAGTAATCAAGCTAGGCCAAAACTTCGAGTACCATCGTAATTCTCTCGTCAGTCCACATCGAAAGATATATAAGTTGACCTTGAGAAGTCAAGGTCAAAGGTTGACCTCAGGTCACGTTGCATCAGGTCGCTTGACCTCAAGGTCACGTGATTTCAAGGTCATCATGCATATCATTCGATGCGCCTTGGCGAGCTGAACAGAATGAGACCATTTGTGCGGCTGTACCATTTTTATGTAAGGATTTATTAGCAAAAAAAGTTTGGTAACCTTTGATGACGTCACATGCTCTTACAGTTGACCAATCGGAAGTAAGGCATCAAAGTAGTCAAAGTTAGTCATGAATCATGTCATTTATGGTACAATTGACCATGAAAACTCGGCCGTCCCAGCATAGTGACCATGAGCGCACCGGCCAAGTTGCCCCGCTAGTCCCGGCCAAATTACCCCATTTTGCCATTCTGAAAATTTTTGTCTATAAAGTCATCACGGCTATACGGAATTAGATAAAATTGCTCTTGGAACCGCTGAACACCTCCAAGAATGGCGCTATAATGTCTGAATTCGTTTTTAGCCCAAATACTACATGTTATACAACTTTTTAAACAGAAGTAAAAGTTACCATTTTCTAATGAAATTAACGTTTTATTAATTTTGAATAAAACTACGAGGGGCAAAGTTTTGACATTTGTCCTTCAGTTATTTCTACCTATGACAAATGAATAGAGACTAGAGATATTTCACTCACTTTTATTAGACATCGTACAGGTGGGGGCGGCCAATTTACACCACCGGCCAAATTACCCCACTCTCCCCTACGTATGTATTAGGTACCTACTGGTTTCACCATTTGAGGCTATTTCGATGCGTCTGCTTTATTTATACCGCTCATTGAATGATATTTTGCTGGTCTAAAATGTGTGCTCCCAGGGTTGTTCCACATTTTCATGTCTAAAGGTAGGCAGCCTTCCCATCAGATCTATGGGGTGACCGATGACAAGTAGCATCTTAAAACAACTAAATGACTGCAATTATCGGGAGCTGGTAGATGATTTGCGGGCCAGTAATTGAATGCCACATCTCACTGAAGCCGTGCGTTTTTAAGGTCCTAGTGACCGCATCAGCCCTCTTGCTGTTGCCTATTAAATTTAGCCACTTTGGAAGCCTGTGCGGCGGGGCGGCGACCGGTCGGGCGGTCCGCCAGGGCGGTCCGGCCTCCGACGACCGGGTCTCTAGCCCCGCCCACCGCCAGTGCTGGACGCTGGTTGGCCGGAGCCGCCAGCGGCCAGCCTCCGTCGCCATGACAACACCACATCTGAGGGGACCACCAATCTCTCGGCCGTGTGCCGGGCGGGCTTCCAAAATAGCAAGGAGTAATTAGCGGCTTCTCTGATGAATGCAGCGAGCGGGGCGGCGCCGCGCCGATTTCCACGAGCAGCTCATGTACGGCATCGTATATATGTTTCAGGCGATGGCGGAGATGGACAGTTACGTGCCGAACAACCCGCACTTCGGTTACGAGACGGGCCCGTGGCAGCCGCTGACGCCTCCGCCGCCGCCGCCGCCACCGCCGGGTCGCTACGGCTACACGGGGTCACCGGAGCCCGGCCCGCTGCCGGGCACCCTAGCTCCGGACCCGCCGCTGCAGACCTGCCACACGCCCGACCCCATGATCAACGGCCTGTCGTTCAACGCACTGGATTTTGAGCCGCTGCCGCACGTCTACACTATCAGCAGTCACAGGTGGGTAGGGGTGGGGGCGGGTCAGGGGTCAGGTGAGGCAGGGTGGGTCAGTCATGGATGAGACAATTCTCATGCATGGGCCAGTGAAGGTCAGATGCTTGTTATGAACGGTAGTTAGCTCTTACAGGTAACATGAACGGACGGATATGAGTAAAGTGCGATGGATGAGAGCAAGGTCAAAGGTGGATCATGTCAAACGGTAATGGACAATGGACAGAGCAGTGTGCATTTTCCCAGTAGAAATCCCACGAGAAGCTGAGCGTGAGAAAATTTGGCGTATCAATGCTTTACGTAAGTCATTCAATTCATAACGATTATGGATTACTTAGAGCTCACTCATATTTTGTACCTTCAACATTTAAATCATATTCTATTCTAAGTACCATCATTGTCAATCAAAATTAATTCATTAAACAACGAAAAAAAAACGCTTACCCACCATTTATACAAGCATATATAATAAATAAAAAGACCAATAACAATGACCAAAGATGGTTGTGGTGAGCTTTAAATACCTATGAGTAGCTATGTGCTTTGAGGCACAGAGACTGCAGGCTACTTTCCCTTTTCATCTATGGCTCCTATTTTCAACTATGGGCTCCTATGTAAAGAATTAAACAGAAAGAAAAATGCACTTTTTCGAAAAAATTATTCGTTTCTTCGATATCGTCGTACATCGGAGGGTAGAGGACAGGGCTACCGCAACAAGCTTCGCTTAGCGGTGGCTCTGTCCTTGTGAATCCTGCCTATCAAAAGGTTCGGACTATTTTTTTTTAAATCGTCAAAAATGACAGAAAAATATTAACTTATTTTTTTAATTAAGTAAAATAACCAACGGCCCTGGCAGACACGCCTATCAGAAAGTGTTATGTCAGATGGCTGGTGCATTGAATCATTTCCGGACCACTATATTTGGCCGCAGCGTCATGATGGGAACTCCACCGATGGTCCCCCGGCCAGGTTCATGGTCACCACATGGGACCCTATCTGCTGTCTGTCGCTGACCGCCAGGAGCGGCAGGGAGACGCTAGTTTTCACAGATATCGACCGGGCAGTCACCCTGAACTTGAAACTCGCTGAATTCGCCGCTGGCCGTCTGCTGCCGCTCACTTCTCACTTCTCAGTTCTCACCTTCCGTATTAAAAACAAAACAATTAACTCCACATGTGCGACAAAACAGAAATGCTATACCCTTCCGTTACCCTAATGCTTAATTCATCCATTATCCACTTATTTCATTCTTTACATTCTACACTGAACTAACGCGGCCGCGGGTAACCGCACACGCATAAGACCGCCGCGCCAGCAGTCCACGCACCTGATGGGTAGGCAACCCGCACAGCCCGGCCGCCTGATGGATAGGCAACCCGCACAGCCCGCACAGAGACGGCCGCTCGGAGCCGGGCTGTCGCTACGGCGAGCGGCGGAGGGAGAGAGAGAGAGAGAGAGAGAGAGAGAGAGAGAGAGAGAGAGAGAGAGAGAGAGAGAGAGAGAGAGAGAGAGAGAGAGAGAGAGAGAGAGAGAGAGAGAGAGAGAGAGAGAGAGAGAGAGAGAGAGAGAGAGAGAGAGAGAGAGAGAGAGAGAGAGAGAGAGAGAGAGAGAGAGAGAGAGAGAGAGAGAGAGAGAGAGAGAGAGAGAGAGAGAGAGAGAGAGAGAGAGAGAGAGAGAGAGAGAGAGAGAGAGAGAGGATGGAGAAGAAGAAAGCGCGTCGGCACACCGGCAATGGCAGTATTAATAATACAGCTGAAGCTTTTAATGAAAATGATAGAATGGGCTCTAGAAAATGAGCTCGTAGTCTTGGGCGCAGCCTAACCATTAGTAATTGAAGTGATGGTCTCAATCTAAAAGTTAAGTAAATCTAAGAATTATAGTAAGATGTTGGCATAGCCGGCATAGCTATTGCGCTAACAAACACTTACTTCCAATAATTCCCGGGGAAAGCATGTGCCCCTACACCAGGCATAATTCACCCACTAGAAGCGTAGCGAAAATTTATGCGATTTTTTAATTTTTCTTTTTATTTATTTCACGACACACAATGGAGGACAGAGGCGGGTAAACATGACACGCGGAGTAAACACAAAAAACAAGAACGGTAAAAAGAACATTGCGCGATACAGCTCAAACCAGCTAGGGCGGCGGCGGCGGCAGACGCGCCAGAATTTATGCGATTCAGGGAAGAAATATGACGATCGCTATCCCGACGCGCGGATGTCTGCCCACAGAATAGTGGGGTGGTCCCGTCTTTCAATAGGTAGGTGGAAGTGACTGGTAGTGAAAGGGTGGGCGCGGAAGGTACATATACCGTCTCCTTCCATATACGCGGGTTAAAGTCGATTGTCGACTATATATAGTCGACAATCGACAGTGCTTCTATGCACCGACCGGTTGAGCTTGTGGCTGCACGCGCGAGAGATAGGTACAGCTTGTCGTTATTCATTTGTGGTCCTTGAAGTGTGAGTGGTTTGTCAGGTAGACTTGACAATGTATTACATGAAGAGTAAAACTAAAAGAACTGATTTTTTTAAAGAATCGGGGCAGGGTTGGAAAACAGGAGAAGTATGTAGGATCCCTCGTGTAATTGGTCGCCATTAGGTTGTTGGAGGGGGGGGGGAGTTTAAAAATAACTTAAATGCATTTTTTACATGGACCCGATTTTGTGTGTGAAAAAATCATACTCAATTAAGTACCCACATGGAACAAAATGTCCTCCACGTCACTGTGAGGTCAGTAAGCCAGCAATCGAGTCACGGTGATCTGCTGGGTCGGTCTAGCTACACTGGGCTGTTTTCGCAGTGGCAGCAGTCGAGCTGGATACGGGGCGGAGCGTGCGGCTGTGAGAATATGATAGCTGTCTCTGAGGCTGGTCGGGTCGCTGACACTGACAGTTAGTGGCGTGCGAGCCGCAGGCTCAGTCCTCGGTCGCAGCAGAGCAAATTTGTGGGTGACTTCCCACACCAGTCATGGCGGAGACTATGATCATGGAGATGTGAGTTCGGCAATGATCTACAGTATATTATTTTGCTAATTTGCAGATCGTAAGACCGGTGATGATCTGCATATTGCAAGTTCGGTATTGTTCTGATCGTAAGTTCGGTGATAACTGGAGCTTGTAAGTTCGATATTTTAATCTGCATAATGTGCATATTGTAAGTTCGGTATTGATTTGGAGATCGTAAGTCCGGTATTCAGCTGCAGAGTGCAGAGTTCAGAGTGAGCTGAAGTGTTCGACAATGCTGCTAGAATCCTGATGATGATACAATTACTTCAAATCAATAAGACAAAGAGTAACAAATAGCATGCACGAATACAAGTGCAAGTCGCGAACCGGAGTATTGTCTCGTTAACACGCGCAGTGGAAGGGGGGGTGGATTTCGCCCACCCCTCCTGTTTTTCGCCAATAACTCGCGCCGCAAGCATAATATCAATGTGAAATTTCGGCTACCTGTCCAGAATTGAATTGCGGATCTTCTCGTGCAAGAAGTAAGAAAATCAGTTCACAACTTTTCTAGTAATAGCGGTGTAAAGTCAAACATCCTGCCGCCGCGGCGGCGCGGCGGCGCGGCGGCCGGCGCTAGCCGTTACGCGCCGCCTGAATTGTAGACTGTGCCGGGGCGGGACGGTTCCGTCTTTACATCGCGCTCCTTACCGCTGATTATATTAGATTCGCGTCAAATTCGGTGAGAAGACGGAGAAATGTACAGGGAATCATATGATCAAAGAATTTTGAAAATCGGCCGGTAACAACTTGAGTTATGAGTGTGTAAACACAAAATTGTGATTGCCGCGTTTCCCGCGTCGGCCGATGCCGCCTCAGCCGGCGACATCTTACCCTTCGCAGGCTTCTAAGTTCTAACTGCCATATTTATTGTTGGATTATCTAGGAATTCACCATACATACTCACAAATGTTTGCTCTTTCGTATAGTGAAAATTTAAAAAAAAAATCGACCGGCAACTTTTTGAGTTATCGGCGTGTAAACGCAAAAAGTCGCTGATATGGCAGATTTGACCACATTTGACCTTGAAGGTATTGACCTAGGGTCATGAAATTCACACACAACAGAGTTCCCCATAGCCCTCACCTACCCTCCAAATTTCGTCTTTCTAGCTCCAGTGGGAGCTGAGATCTTAGGGGGGGGGGCGATATCCGCCCCCCTTCCACTGGGCGTAGTACTCGCAACCCTTCCACTGCGCGTGTTAAAGATACCCGTTTATATGGCCATTTTATTCACTTGCGATGAATAATTAAACCGCGCACCGACGGGGTCTGCGCCAACTTACAACCGACAGGGCGGGGGGGGGGGGCGGATGACCGCCCCCCCTGAGATCTCGAAAACGAAGCAAGATAGCGACAAGCGGTAAACGGCATGGGGTACGCACGGACAAGGTCTACAATTTTTAAAAGGTCATTTTCAGGTCAGGTCAAAGATGACGTCACAGGGGTAAAAAAAGTCAAACATGACGGCGCTAGATATGGAGAAAGTTTTTCTCGAATAACGTATGAATTAGTGACGCAAGGAACAAACTAAGGACATCATTGTGATTCTCTCTTTAATACGCATCGAATCATATATATGTTGAACTCGAAAGGTCAAGGCCAAAGGTTGACCTCAGGTCACGTGACCTCGAGGTCATCATGTATATCATTCGATGCCCCTTGACGAGCTGCACACAATGAGACCAACTGCGCGGCTGCATCTCGTTCCTGTAAGGAGTTATTGGCAAAAAAACGTTGGTGACCTTTGATGACGTCACATGACCTTACACACTGAAAACACTTTGGAAGAACGTTAAGAACGTACGGGGGTATTTAGACCCCTGTGGGGTAAAATGTTATGCCACCGTTTTTCAGAACCCCTATGGTTCTTCACGTAGACGGCTTTGCATTCTCATGAAAAGAATCAACACGATTCTTCCAAAGACTCTTATGAGGTTTAGGGTTTATAATAAGAGCGTTCCTAGCACCTGGATAAGAACCCCAAAGGGTCTGTGAAGAAGTCCCCGAGGTTTATAGGGAAACCACCCTGTGCTCTGAATATCGGTTGTAGAACCCTTTCAGTTCTATTGCAATACCGCAAAATCCCCGTTCACTCGTCTATTGAACCTCCCATGCATGGCTATCGACCTGCGCCGTCACATCTGCTGCGCAAACACAGTATTTGATACACCTTAAAATGTATTACCATTTACCTTCCTCTTTACTCTGAGCAATCAGCCTGCAAGTCTCCAGTCAGGAACAAGCAGCCCGCAACCAGCCCATGCGATCAGCCCGCAACCAGCCCGCATTCAGCCTGCGATCAGCCCGCAATCAGCGTGCAAGAACGCTTTTTCCTCGGCCGTGTCACTTGCCTTACACATCCAAGCCAAAGAACTCCAGAGCCTTTCGGGCATGTTTAATTATTCAAGTTGATTCCTTCAACTTCAGGGTTGCTTTCTGTACAACTATGAACACATTTTTAGCTTTGGCAAGTGGATGTTTTCCCAAACACAGTACGAGTATGCGCTATCGCCCATGTCAGCAGCCGGGTGGCGATATCGCATTCTTCCAAATCACATACAGTTAGTCTCCTTCCACCACCAGCTTCAAGCCAGCGTTTTCGACGATGTCGACGTCTCCGCGCGCCAGGACGCTCTCCTCAGACTCCAGGGCCTCAATCAGAGCGGAGATGGCCTTGTCCCCTAGAATGAAGAGTCGGGCGGATGCGTTAGGCAGGGAGAAAAGAAACTTATATTGACTTCAGAGACCATGAGCCTACTCCAAAAATAAAATAATGCACTTAACCCTCGCATGTGTAGGGGGGGGGGTCGGATGGACCCCCCCCCCATGGTTTTTCGCAAATAACTCGCGTAAAAAGCGGCCAATCGCGACGAAACTTTCAGTACCCTCGCATTGATCAATTTTACACCTAACCTGAAAAATTCATGACCCTGACCCAAATGACCTTTGACCTGTGACCTCTTTTCCGAGACCATGTTTGGCCGGAATCGCGATTCCGCGTATGTCGGCTCGCATTAGCCGCGCGTTTGCAAGCTTTTCGTGGTTTCAAACGTTCAAACATGTGATTTGATGTTGCTCCCATGCATTAGGGTGGGTGTCAAGGTCACCTGAAGGTCAGGTCAGGTCATTGACCTTTGGTGACCTCGGAAGACCTCGGCTCACTTTTTCGAGTTTTACATGTTTCTAGGCTAGTTTTTGGAGCTGAATTCGAATTTAGCAGCCATTTGAACATTTACGAAGTAGTTTTGGTGCCTTCGTAGCATGTTACGAAGCTGTCAGAGGCGGTTGACACGTACTACGAATACCCTTCACGACGCCTACTGGTTGACCTGACCTGACCTGACCCGACTTGGTCTAAATGCTTAAAGACATCATCTGTGATCAAAGCTAGCATGATATTCGTGATCAGCAACCCGAAAAACCCCTTAGCAGCCACACTTTACGACTTTCTAAGACTAATAGGTCCCGATTTTCCCGACTTTGGGTCATTGACCTGACCTGGAAGGTCAACCAATGACCTAGGTCCTTAAAATTGGGTATCATCGGCTTCCTCTCATCACGGGCAACACGATCGTTTTTTCCGCGAAGCTCTAGCTCGATCAGAGGCCAAACGGCAAGGGGGGGGTCCAACCGACCCCCCCCCCCCCCCCCCTACACATTAGAAGCTGGCAAACGCCGCACACATGCGAGGGTTAACATATAAAGTGCAGCTAGATAAAATATTCTACTAATCAGCAAGAACATATGTTTATTAAAATGAGCCAAATCCTATACCTAAAACAGTTGAACCCAAAATGGCAACCTGATTCTATTCCTGATTTATCTTCATTTGGAAGATTTGTCTAAATACCACATGCATAATTTAAGCTATGGGGCATTTATAAAACATATAAATACTTACTGCATTGATTGGTCTTGCATATGAACTTTCTTCATCCAATGCATTCATCCATGCATTTGAAGAGCGTTGTGATATTGCTTATCATTGTCAATCACAAGTAATATAAATAATACACAACACTTGATAAGCCAAAAATTAACCTTATTTCAGTTCTTCAATATTCGATTACTTGCCATTCACCCAATCTTGCACCAGCCGCTCGTCACTGCACAAAGCGTGATCCAACGCGATCGAAAAATGGCGATCGCCTCCGGTGGACGCTAGAACGTGGTACCGCGGGCGTGGTCTTGATGAAAGCCATTACACTGATTAAACCACAACCCCTTCTTCTTAAACCCGATGCTAGTTCGTGCAAGACCTTCAAAGGGTTTATCTTTCGCGCGCTTTGTGTGACGTAATATCACGTGACTAGGGAGAACGAAGAAGAACCGGTGTTGGTCGAGTTGAAGCCCCCTGGGGCTGCTAAGACTGCACGCGAAGAAGCAGCACGTGTCTTCGGTCTATGTGAAACACTGTGTGTGTTCTTCATGAACCAGACGTTCTTCTTCGCCTCTAAGCCAGTTTACCCTAATACCCCAAAAACCTAAGTGTGGAATATTCTCAGATGCTTTTGCATTACGTTCTTTCAACTTGTTTTCAGTGAGCTGGCCAACAGCAAAACAGGCCTCAAGGTAGTGAAGGTTGATCGTACATGAAGTCATGTATGGTATATGGGGCCATTCCGACGCGTTTTAGTGGGAAAAACAGAGAGTTGATTTTTCCCCATTGATCCATTGATTCCCCCCAATGGGAAGGCCGAGAAATTGACCTGACCTTAAGTCATCGATATCGAAATTCCGAGATATACAAATTGTAGCTACCAATGACCTAATAACATCCTGCGACTTTCAAAGGCCTCCGTCATCTACTGTAGCTCTGACACTGTGGCAAAGTTGCAAAAAAGTGACTTGAGGTTGGGTCATTCAAAGTGACCTGACCTGACCTTAAAAGTTAGGAGGTTCAAACTGCACATTATGTGTAAAATTGATAAGAGAATAGTCATGCCAAATTTCGCGGCGCTACGCGTCGCGGTTTTCCCACTATTCACGAAAAACCTTAGGGGAGGGGGATAACCGCCCCCCCGTCGGTGCGCGGGTTAAAATAAGCATGCTTCTTGTCTGACATTGGATACTAGACCACTTATAAAGAATTTTACAGAGAGCTTGGCCCTCACCACACGTGTATAGCAATTAGCAGTTATGCCTATAACTCACTTTCATCTTTTAAAAGGAAAGCCTAGGCAAAGGAGACTCAATGACGCTGTCGCACCACTTATATTTAACTGAATAAGAATATAAAATGAACACTTACTCCTCTATCAATTATATAGCATATCACGCACGAAAATCGAACATCCATCGCATAGGCCATCCTTGACGTTTGCCGACCACGTATTTTTCAGGGAGTTCAGTCCACCGGTTCGGGAGCGGTCACCGACGCAGGAAATGAACGACTTCTTCTTCCCCATGAAACACCACGGCGCCACTGCAGGTGAGCGCTTGAGAAACGCACTACAGTCTACAACAAACGCGTTAGTTAAATGCATCCCTTCCACATGTGCGAGTAGATTTACCATAGAAATAGAGCATATTGATGACTGCACATAATCTCTGATAAGAGAGAAGCAGTCAGTTTTTTTAGCAACAAGTAGTAAATTGAAATTAGCTTGTCCCTTTCGTAAAAAGCTTTCACCGGATCCACCATATGTTCCTCTTTCCTACACCCAAGAAATCATGCGTTATAAATTGACAAAACAAGGTAGCTCAATTCAGCTTCAGGTAAAATTTACAAGTAAATCTAAAAACTGAATACCATTTGTACAGACCAGCGAAACATCTATTTGAAGAAAGATGAGACAAGCAGCGAAGGTTTCGCGATTTCAACCAAGGGATGTGCTTTCTAAAAGGAAAAGGAAAAAGGAAAAGGAAAAGGAAAGTTCGAAGCATTCCCGAATACCGTATACATAGCTTCTAACGGTCTAATTTTCGAGGCTTATGGCAGGAAGCATGGGTGGTGTTTTGCATACCTATCGATGGTAGGGTCCTAGCCCTACCTAATTTTTGGCATATAGAGCCCAATCGCGTTGCATGGTAAGAATGGCCTTTGTATTCTTAAATGAACTATTCAAGTCGTACCAATAAATTTACGGGAATGACATCCATAGTGCCTGAAATGCTGTATGCTGAACAGCATGCACTAAATATGCATCAACTGAACACTCTTCTAGAGAAGTAATGTAACGAAAGACTGTGTTCATAAAATTACGTTAGTTTTTTACGGAGCGGGATACGCCCCCTGTTTAGCAGCTGTTGTCACTTCCCTGAGAACTTTCTATCCGGATTCAGCCGGTTGGTGCCGCCTCCGCCGTCCGCCGACTGGGGTGGTCATCACGCGCTCTAGGCGTGATCACTGGGAACTGGCCGTGAGCCGAGTGCCGGCGGCCACCTCGCGCCCCCGATAGCCAGCCCACGCGGGGCCACGGCCGGCCGGCCCCGCCCCCGCCCGGGCGAGCCCCTGTGACGTCAGCGGCGGGCCCTCCGTGCAGCGACCCGTGACGCTAACGTAATGCATGTTATACGGTGCAAATCGCTCATTGCCTTTTGGAATTATATCACTGCTTGTAAATTATTATCAGTGGATGTTCATTAGCAAGGTAACTCTTCAATAAATGGAGCGCTTTTGAATTACAACATTTTGCGCACATCTCGCTCGGATGACATAAACTGACGTGATAGGCAAGCATATTATTAATCACGATCAAGCTTACTAATTAAATAATCAATTTTGCACGTTAAGCTGGCGTTCTAAATTTCTTTAGCGTTTACAGTCAACTATAGACCTCTGTATACCTATAAACAGGTCTAAAGCTGACTCTTATGCAGAGCTCCATAGTCAACTTTTCTCCTTTTCTTTGCTCGCAATACATTTTGAAAGTTGCTCCTGTCTACAGCAATCGCTTTTCGCATTCGTATTTAATGAAATGCGGAAAGCGGATACATATCTACACACGGAGCCTGCGTGGCACGTTGGTTCCGATGACGCGGGTGACAGCTGACAGCTCGCTAACTGTCATTTATGAGTATGACGTCATATCCCTTGTTCAGTGTCAGGCTGGCGTGCGACGAGCTGCGGTGACGACTGACGCACTCGGCGGGGCTTCCTCTGATGCACGATCTGTTGAAAGGCGGGCCAAATTCCAGTGACATGTATTGTTCCGAGTTTCCCATGTAATTCTGCGTTTGAAATGTCAAAATCCGTAAAAACTATCGTCCGGACTGGCTGATACGTCGGGCGGACCTACTATTCGCGTGGCTGGTGAATCTCGTGGGCGGCTTTGAAGTCTGGATAAACCGTAGCTGTCGATTTTTTTTTGTAAGTAAAACTGACCTTAGATCAAACATTCGAAACTCTGATGTCCACACAAACGCAGTCATGTAACCAGGGCCTCGTTTCATAAAGCTCTGCCGTAACTTACACCTTTCCGTAAATCACACCCTTTCAAACTACGGAGCGCAAATGAAGCCGTTTCACAAAGCCACAACTGGAATTGTTTACACCTCCGTAACTAAGCACATTTGCGTAGTTACCGTAATTTATCAAGCGTCCTACAAATTACAATTTCATGTCAACACTTATTTTTTTACGAGAAATTATAAAAAATTATGTTGAATTTAAATCTTAAAAATTATTTATGAAAAAACAAAATTGATATTGATGACCATCCTTCATTAAATCAATATATTGAAAACAGCAGAAAGCCAGCTAAGCAGAAGTGCCTTACTACGGAAGTGGCGCAGCGCGGCGAATAAACAAAATTCCGATAGCGGCCACACAAAGGCGACTGGTACAGAAGACTTGCAGTTTCTTTTTCTCATTTTGGCTGTTCTTTCTTCCTTACCGGGCTCAACATTATAAAATATATTAAGAATTAGCTTCGAATCTTCACATTAATTCAAATTCACGCAACATTTTGGTGCGTAGTTTACACCACTGATATCAAGAGCTTGATAAAATATTTGGCGTTAATTACGTCGTTTTATGAAACCCAAATGGCATCAATTGGTCCGGAATCGAGCATTTGCCGTAAATGAAGCTCCGTAATTTCGATGGCGTGAATTACTCCGGTCACCGGCTTTATGAAACCGAATTGGCATCAAATACGCCAAATCTGGCATAATTGACGGAACGCCGCAAGTAATTCCTTTTATGAAACGAGGCCCAGTAGGCATTTTTCACTAAGTGGGAGTCGCGTTCAGTACCGATGGTTGAAGCTGTCTTCTTGCATTGATAGTCATGATGACGGCCATGTGACAGCGTTTGTGACAGCAGACCGTCGTGACAGCTCGGTACGCGTCTGTGACAGCTGGTCGCGCGTCCATGACAGCTGGTCGTGCATCCATGACAGCAAGCCGCACGTCCATGACAGCTAGTCGTACGTCCATGACAGTTAGTCGCGCGTCCATGACAGCTAGTCGCGCGTCCATGACAGCCGGGTGTCCCACAGGCGGTCAGCACGACTGCGCCCTGGAGCAGTGTCGCCTGAGGCGGTCAGCGGTCGGTCGGTGGGCGCCGCTGACCGAAACCGACTCCAAACACTGGCAATACGGTACCCCGGGCGCCGGGACACTCTGTTTTATACGGACCGCATGCGCATGTCGGATGTCGTATGGTGTCATCTGGCTGTATGAAATCCAATGTGTGTTGTGTTTAATATCCTCCAACCGTGCGATGTGCCCCGACAATTTAGCATGCATTGTTGTCACCTGATGTCGTCTAATCCTGTCTGATGTCGCCGAGATGAAGCCTGCAGCGCTACTGCTTCTCACTATTATGCACGTCTCATTTTCACGCGATGCTTCAGATGATTGATATTCTCAAAAATGTCCAGTTTCATGCGTTCGGAGTCTCCGCGATAACACTTTTTTAATATGTTCGATGTCCTCGTCCACCAATCGTTCTGTCAAGCATTCTTCGCTTGATATGCGCTCAAATACGACCATAATACATGCGTGCCCGGCTCATGCGAAATGTAATAAATAGGTTCTGGCTTTGGCTGACTTCCTGAAGTATACCCGAGTTTGACCGTGCAAGAATATCGTAACGGGCGTCCGTAGCATGCTGTTTGCCGTCATAGTTTTGCTGTGAGCATAAACGTTCCGACAAAATGTCTGTCATCCCTGGTGTGTAGTGATTATCTGTCCTTCAAGATAACCAGTGTGTGCATTTAAGTCCAATGCAGATTCAGTTAACGCAAATATAAAGATATGATGTTGCATTAAGCAAACCATCGCCAGACAATCATCTATCACACATAAGATGAGCATGAGGGAATTGCAAGGTGAAAATTCATCGCAATGATAGCTCAAATGACCCTCTTTCAAGGCCATACGTTTTGACATAATTAGCATTACACTGACCTGGGTTGTCGTTTGCAGGTGCCCTGTCACCGACAGGCGGGTCCTCCGGTCATCTGGTGTCACAGAACAGCCTGACACCGAACCCGCATACATTCGGCAGCCCTGCCAATCAGGTAACAGCAGAGTCTCTCAGTACATCTGCGCTATACACGCTCACGGGTTGAAGCAAGGGTATAAATAGGCATCTGAAAACTTGCGGGTTAGATCTAAAATTCAACTACGCAGGCTCCCCACAGTCAGTTTTACTCTGTGACGAAAAAATGATGTATGCATTATATGCGATACTTTGTTTGTTTGTTTGTTACAAATTGCGGATACTGATCGTGAATTCACAAATTTAAGCGTTTTACGGCACTATTCACTTAAGTTAAGAAATATAATTGTGCTTTGTCCCGAACGATACTGCTAGCAGACGCATGGCTGTTTTTGAACAAAGCCGTCACCACGATTTGTATGCAATGGGATATTACAGCGAGGAATCCCAAAATACGGTGGTAGAAATCGCTCAGAATGCAAATATCTCCGTTATGAAACTGCACTGAATTGTGTCATGGTCGAATGTGTGCGAAAAATGTTTCAATATAACCTTCTAACTCGAGCATTCATGCGAGTTCCGTGTGACGGAGTGTCCTCCATGTCATTTTTTCACCGACACAATGTCAAATCACCTTTGTTCGATATACACGCTGATAACCCACTTAATTTCAGAATATATTACCATTTTGCTGGGATAAAATGTGCGGTATCTCGCTTATCTCACCAAATCAGCCCGGTTCATCAGGAAAAGGGTGGACATGGTCAGGTGCCCCGCGTGTTTACGGAGCGAGCGAAGCGAGCGGACTCTTACGTAGAATAACGGAAATTTCTGAGTATGAGCGGCCGGCCGGCCGGCCGGCCGTGGTCACGATTCTGCGACGCTTATATCTCAGCAACCACTTGACCGATTTAAATGCGGTAATTTTTGTAGGGTAGCTTCATTCCTTCTACCAAGTATTGGACTATTCCCGATGCATGTGGGTGACCCCTTATGCACGTGCCACGTGCAAAACGAAGAGGTGTCACTTTTGTAATTGTTGCAATATCTCGGTAACTACTTGGCCGATTGCGCTGAAAGTTGGCATGCAGGTAGGCACCCACTAGGCAATGCATATCCATGTGCCAGAGTTGGGGTGCTGCTGCACGTGCGCACGTGCAGGGGTCGATTCCAGAGCTCGAGAACTGCTGGACCGATGGCGCTCAAATTTGGTACATGGCTAGGGACCGGTTAGTAGGGTGCCGTGCAAAAGTCAGTTGGGACCCATTTTGCACGTGCGCACGTGCAGGGTGCCGCTTCCAGATCTCGAGAACGGCTGGGCCGATTGTGCTCAAATTTGGCACATCGCTAGAGACCGGTTAGTAGGGTGCCGTGCACAAGTCAGTTGGAGGTACCCCCTCGAAATTTCGCACGTGTAAGGCCCACCCTCTCGCTCGCTCCGTTAGTCGCCCCAAAAGGCGTTATACTGGTTTTAATTATGTAACAAAATGAAACAAACGTCCGGTTTCCAAATAATCAATTTTGGACACACGTCATGTTAAAAAATGATAGTTTTATGGTTAGCGGCAGATTTAACTGCGTATCAGTGTAGGGAAAGCAACGAAAACAGAGTTTATTGGCAGTGCAGTCACTGCTTGCTACCTTTCGGCGGCCGTCTACCACCGTATCTTCAGTACGATGAAGCGACCTATCCGTTACTTTTTCACAACCTGACGGGATTCCCTTGGGTTCAGCCCCTCACCTCCCTCACTATTGGTCTTCCGTTTTTTCTCAGCAGATACTGACCGGACCCTCCTGGGGTAAACCCCGTCCCCCAGACTGACCACTATTCGTCCCCCTCCTCAGCAGCAGCTGGCGGGCCTGTTCCCTCCCGGAGGTCACACCGTTGACCCGACTGGCTCCCAGATGTTCCCCAGCATGTCAGTCAACGTCAGCATGAACATGAACATCGGCGTGTCACCCGGCTACCATATCCAGGAGGAGTCCTTCGCACCGCAGGTGCGTGCTGCTCACAGAGCTGACGCGCCAGCCATTGATGAAAGAAGCTTTATTGGATCATGTTTTTTCGTATGCTGTATCAAATGTTGAAAGTTGAACTGAGCTGAAATAATGAAGGCATGTGGTCTGAGGCGAATAAGTGCCCTGCACGTCATTGAGCAGCCTGGGAGTTCTGGGTGTGACCTAGTGTGCTCACCGGGTGACCTGGTGTGACCTGGTGCAACCTGGTGTTTCTGGTGTGTGTGACCTGAGATGAACCAGATGAGATGAGCACGGGTGAGGCTATCTTCAATGACCGGGTATCACTCATGACCTTGTGTGACCTATAGTGACCCAATCGTGACCTGGATCTGCTCCCTTGCGATTTCCAGCTGCCGTGGAGCAGCAGTCCGCCGCAGTACCCGTCGGGAATGTTCAGTCCTCAGCCGCCGCTGGTCAGCCCGCTCGCCATGCCAGCTAGGTAAGACACTCCTTCTTCTCGGTCCAAATGAGCAACGACAGGAGGTGAACTAAACTCTGAGCTGTGTCCCTGTGTGCCAGCGCTTCAAAACGCAGAGTCTTGGAAAGTGCCACTATATGTATGTAACATGTTATTCTTCGCTGTCGAGAAGCCTGACTATCCGACATCCCTCTCACAATCTGGCATGTTCTGGCTGTGTCCTGTGCCTTTTTCAACGCGTAACGCACATCACTTCCCCCTTTTCAACTTCCCGCCTCTTTCTCTTCGCGCGACAGCTCTGCGACAGCGCCGTACAGCTCGTCGGCGAGTTACGCGGCGTTCACGGCCGAGCTGCGGCCCGAGGTCAGCTGGACGGCTGCAGCTGCCGCCCAGCAGCAGCAGCAGGTCGAGCAGCGCGGCCACCAGCTGGCCGCCTCGCTGCGCTCCAGTCTGCGGCGCGTCGACCCGGCCGGCTACTCGGCCCACCTGGACGAGTCGCTGCTGTACGTGTGCAAGGCCGAGCCGCCGCCGCCGGTCGGCCAGCTCGACAAGACCAACGTCTGTCGGTGAGCGACGCTCTGCAGGAGGGAGGGAGAATAGGGTGGAGGGCTGAAGGTGCAAAGGGACGATATTGGACGGTTTGCTTGGTGGGAGGGAAAGGTGCATGAGCGAGAGGGAAAATGGCCCTAAATGTGAGGGAGGGACGCGAGAAAATGAGAAAAGACTGAAGGAGAAGAGTGGGAAAAGAAAATCTTCCAAGAGACGGAAGGCAATAAAAAAGACCAAAGACGTTCATAGCCGGCCAGCCGATGGCGTGAAGGGCTGATGTATTTCATGCACCGCGGAAAGTCGACGAGGGACACAAAGGTCTATTTTTGTCTATTCATCAACATATTGAGTTCTTCTGGATCAAGTGCCTAACGTGAAGCCCTAAACCTACCAATACCATTATTAGTTAACAAACCTCCCCACTACGCCTAATGAAGTTCTGGTTCTTCCAGAGTATGCAGCAAGGCGTACGCCCGGCCGAGCACGCTCAAGACCCACATGCGCACCCACAGCGGCGAGAGGCCGTACAAATGTCATGAGTGCAACAAGTCGTTCTCGCAGGTGAGTGACGCCCGTGACGGCCGGTGACGAGCAGCGACGTGACGGCCGGAAGGCTCTCAAACGCCGCCGCCCACACGTGTTGCGCCAGCCGGCCGAAGCTGGCCAAGTTCGCGGCAAGGCAGCACCTCAGGCCTCAGCATCTGTTGATGACTGCGTCAATCGTCTAGTCTGTTGGAGCTGATAGAGCTTCACTTTTTATGTCATAGATTTGCTGTTTGCTAGTCGATTCATTAACATTCGTCAATAAAAACTTGCAATGCATAATGCATAGCTCTTTTGAAAAACAATTAACTTCACTGGACTGCTATACTTATATCTACACCTCAGTCGACGAATGCAGAGCACCATTGTTCTATGTCCTACTTCTCCGTAGAAGAGGATCACTGGATCTGCTTTGTCTAAAGTTGAGCACCCGTCCGTCCGATTCCCAGGCGGCGAATCTGACGGCCCACGTGCGGACCCACTCCGGCGAGAAGCCGTTCTGCTGCCCGATCTGCGATCGCCGGTTCAGTCAGTCCTCCTCGGTCACCACTCACATGAGGACACACTCGGGCGACCGCCCCTACAGGTCAGTTACCACTCTCACATGAGGATACACTCGGGAGACCGTCCCTCTCCCCACAGGTCAGTCGGAACTTCCCGCGAGGTCCGCCCTCACAAACACTTGTCCTGACGTTCTTTGGCTCAACGCGCTGGTAACTTCAGCTAGTGAGGTGTGAGGTCGTTCAGGTGGCTTTTAAATCGATCTTCTGAAGATGCGCAATGCACAATGTGTTTCTTCTTTATCACTCCTTGATGATTGCTGCCCCAGTGGTAAAACAAATGAAAAAAATAAAAACAACCGCCGTATGCTGACGCACCTTTTCTATCCGCAGATGCCGCATGTGCAAGAAGTCGTTCAGCGACTCGTCCACCCTGACCAAGCACATGCGGATACACAGCGGAGAGAAGCCGTACCAGTGCCGCATCTGCATGTTGCGCTTCTCGCAGTCGGGCAACCTGAACCGGCATATGCGCGTGCACGCCTCCAGTGTGTGCTGACAGTGGCAGCAAGAGGCGCCGAACACAGTGAGTGTAGATCTCCGACAGGGACACAACTGCTAGTCTAGTTACCAACTGTGTGTCATCGAGAGGGACGATAGATCGTCGAGAAAAATGTAAAAGAAGAGTTGCGTTTCGTGGTAAGAAGACCTTTGGGGAGAAACCCAAATGCAACAGCATACCAGCAAAGGATAAACTTCTGAGGAGCAGTTCAGAACCACTCAAAGCCCCAAGTAGAGAGTTAACATGAGATACACTAAGCGAATGGAACTGTGAGAAACATTCCCCTCTCCTCTATCGTCCAGTAAGCGCTGGACCATTCCACTGTTGGACAATGTGGCATTGAACTGGAGTGGACTAACGTTAAAAAGTCGGCTATTTGTGTGATGAGCAGCGGGTCGAACGCGTTCAGAAAAAAAGATAAGGGGGAAGTGTTCCGTGGATTGACCTGAAGAAGTAGAAATGTGGCATTGTTAGCTGTCTGTCTATCGTTCAGAAAGTTATCTCTTTCTGAAGTTCAGTTTGAACGACATTGACTAGGATTCTGCATTACAGACTTTGCAGCTCATACCTATTCAAACTACGAGTTTAACTTTTGTTGCCGCGCTGTTAATGTCGGAGAAGCATTTCTGTTGAATTCGTAAAATGGTTTGCTTGCGTACTACTACATACAATTCTGTGATACTCTTTATTCATTACTTATCCTTCTACAATGCAAAAGTGGAACTGGAAACATATCTATGATCTTACACCAAATGTGTTGATATGTTTTGTTTTGGAAAGTTTTGTTCATCCTCAATTGTCCTAACATACTCCAGACATTGACAAATGTATTCGCTTTTTGTCGCGAGATAATGTCAACATTGAGTGCTTGCAGAGGATTCTGAAATGGTAAAGGTAACATGATATTTTCTCGTCTTCGGGAGTGTGAAAGAAACATTCGCTTAGTCTGATACTGTTGAATGATAAAGGTGCCCAGCTTGCACTTTCGAAGATCTGTGAGTCATAGAGAATGGAGAAACGCTCAATGATATTGTGTCTAGTCGCTCAGCAGGTGGCTGCTTTACTATTACCAAAGGACCGTGGGGCGGCAGAGGCTGATCAGGTGAACGTGTGTGCTGATTAGTCTACTCTGCTTGTGGTGTGTATGTGTACTGTGAATGTCAGTATGTGCCAGTGGAATTATGTAATACATGTCACATGTAAGATACATATCACAGCTACACGTGAGTTTGCAGACGAGACAACCGAAGCTGCAGCTGCAATGCATGATGTTCTTACGTCCATGGGTGACGCTTTTCCAGGGAAGTTGGTTCGGCAAAAAGTCGTCAAAACCACAGTGTCCGATTATGCAGTTGAATGAAATGCCACACTGAATCAATTCTTATCGTTACAGATATAATATTTTGCATTAAACAAACATTCCAAAGCTCTTCAATGCGAAAAAGATTAATTTGCAAAGCAGCAAAGTCTTAAAAATCAGCTACAGTTGGTGGGGCAAAATACCAAGTTGGTGGGTATCTTGCCGCCCCACCAACTGTATAGGAAGCTCCGCCCCTGCTTACGTCTTACAGTAAGGGAAATATGAGCAGGGGACCTATTTAATATCGCTATTACCTACTCTTAAATTTTGCAACCCCAATAATACATAAGTGCTGCCACAGGGCACAGCGATGACTGATCTGATTTGTCAATCGCTGTTATCCGCACTGACAACCCATACCCATAACTCTCAGCACACAGCTGCGTCACTCACCGAGGCTGCGAGCGGCACGTCAAATTACCCAGCTACAGCCGGCAGCGACAGCATAACTCACCGAACCGGCATAACCCCGATGACGGCAACAATCAAAGTCAGGTGTTCACTCTCCGGTTCCGATCGCAATTCTATAGAAGGGTCTATCGCGGTATACATCACGGCATATCACTCCATAGACAGGTCTATCGCGGTGTAGGTATATCGAGCTATTTCACTCCATAGGCGACAGGTCTATTGCGCTCCACCCGACCGGCCCAGCTGCGGGCGTCACAGAGCCGCGGCCGCCGTAACTCATGCACGGCGCCCTACCTCAAATACACCGGAGTCCGCACACAGCACACCGCACACCAGCCAGCACACTAGCCAGCACACGGAACGGCCCCGGTGTGCGGGTTGACCCACAGCGTACAGCCGGATTGTGGAGCAGCGTTCCGAACTTCGTTATGAACGGATCAGTTGGCAAAATTGATACCCCTTATTGGCCAACCATAAAAAAGGATAGGTACGGCTCATATACATTGGATTACATTGGATTATTGGACATACATTGGATTCGAGTCCTCGCCAGGCTTTGAATGACAGCTATCTTTTACAAAGATAATGAGTACAAAAGGGAGCCAATTATGCATGAAATGCCTCTGCTTGTGCTCAATATGTATGCTACCATTCTCATCTGGCTCAGTCCTACAGTCTACAGTCTACCGTCCTACAACAGGCACCTTGCTGCTTTCTGTCCAGGAGCCGACCAGCGACCACCGTTCTATTTTCACCGGGCGCACTGCACCGTCGACAGAGGCGAGTTATTGATTTAATTAGCGTATGCGGCTGTTGACAGGAAGCCGGGCGAGTGCAGGCGCGAAGCCCCGCCGGCGCACCGCCGACTACCTGTGATACGATTAACTGGCGGCGGCTCCGGTCCACCCAAGATGGCCGCCGGCTCCGCCCGTCACGGCGCAGGCCGGCCGGTCGATGCTGAAAGGCTCCGCGTCAGAGGCGACAGAATTCATATTTGAAATAGGACATGACGCATTTTGCAACATGATGGATGTATAATGCACCAGTGAACCATGTCAGGGTAAACTAGGGAAAGGAGCAGCCAAAATTGGTCATTTTCCCATGCGTTGTTTGTTTTGAGATGCTCCCGTGCGCCCTGCCCATCTCTGCGACCGCCAGGGCATATGAGAATATATATAATGGTTTTCAGCTTACTTTAGTCGAGCTCAATGTTGTACCCTGATTGAATGGCCTGCAAAGAACGTCCTTCAAGCTGGACTTTGCCGGAAACCTTTTTTTTTGGAAACCTTACGGTTAGCATATCCACGAACAGTGTGGGTGCCGCCTTGTTAACTAAAGATCGACCTTTTCAGTGGGCATTGTGCAAGAGGAGATGCAATCAAGTATGCCACAAGTATTACCTATATAATAGCGGTTTTCACGAAAAGGCGAAAGCACCTAATTTGACCACACTGGCGGATCCAGAAAGACGATCTTGGACGTTGCGGGGGGGGGCATAGGTACCCCCAAAACAGTTTCTCCAAATTCCAAATACCTACTCATCGGATTTCGGTTCCTTACGCACTGCTGCGCAGTTTATAATAAACTTTTCCTAACAAAAGTTGTTCAGTTTTCGTTTTATTCTTCAAAAACCGCAAATTTTCGTCAATTTCGGGCGCTGCGCGGGGAGGCACTTTCCCGGCCCCAAATGCCCTCCCCCCCCCGGATCCGCCAGTGTTTGACCAAGTCTGCACCAAATCTCTTCTACAACAAATGTTTCCATAGCATGAATTAATTTCACTGTTTAATCAAAAACAATGTCTGATAATTTGAAAATGAGGTGTATGTACAAGCATCTGTGCAACGCAAACTTACAACTTTTAGAAAACACAATGATGAATGAACCTATTTAACCAAATCTGCACCAAATTTGACCTAATCTGCACCAAATGTGTGCCAGATGGCCGTCTTGAAAACAGCTATTACCTGCTGAACGACTGAACGAGGCCGGCGAAAATTTATCACTGGCCGAGCTCGTTAGGTATGTAGGTATTTTAATGAATGCTAACGGCAGCTAATTCAACAACGGGACGGGATGGGACGTGAACAGAGTGACAGTAGGGATGATTGAATTCAACATGTAGTTAGAGAAGTATTTTTATACATCACTAGCTTTGAAAAGGAAATTCTCATTGCACAATGCACACTAATTCAACTTTCCAGTTCCTGTCTCTTAGCCGATTTTTGAATGAGGGCGTGGAAAAAAATGCTGGCTAGGTGCACACTGGTGGAACATTTTCGACTGCAGATCAATTTGTGAACACTAATTTGCACCACAACTCTCCGGCTAATATATCTGAATACCCTAGGCATGCAGTGAAAGGTTTAATCGGGCGACAGCCCTTCATCGTACAGACTCCGTCGGACTGTTTTGATCAAAAAGAGACAGCCACTCTCCAGGACAGGTGCGCCATGCCAGCTTGTGCCTTGAAGGCTGTATTACCTGTATTGTGTGCCCTGTCAGCGGTGATGACTTTATTTGCCGTCTCCCTGACAGGTAAAAGTGCCGCAGCTGCGAGTGACACCTGACGTCGATCAAATGAAGGCCGACACAATTCGGGCACGAAACATTTCTAGACGCAGTCAATGGTCCCGGAGAGGTGCCAAAGTGTTCCGCTGGACGACTTGAAAATCGATAAAAGTGTCACGTGATGAGGTATCTTACGCTTAGAATGGTGGCATGAATGATGCCTCGAGCGACTGCTTATTAGGTGCTGGTTCGGTCCTACAATTGGTGAGTCTGAGCAAGCGACCATGTCCACTTAAAGAAGTGTAAGCGTGCGTACAGTCAACTCCCCGGCCAATTAACTCATTGGACTTACGGTGCAAAACCCAGGATCAGTTTCCACCGGTGCTAGATAATAGCCGTTTTCACGACGAGCTATCCGGCGAATGCACTTGATTTGACCAAATCTGCACCTAATTTATTTTGCAGCAAATATCTTCATTTTATGAATTTATTTCAGTGTTTTAACGTTAGGCGGCACGGGCGGACATCGATAGCAGCGCCTCTATCGGTCACTAGGGAAAGCTGGGCTGTAGGCGACGAAATACCGGCTGAGTTGTCACACGTTGAATAGGTTTATAGACATCCGTCTTGTGAAAAAGTTGAACTTTTGCCTTCAATATTTCTACAGGCAATTTTAGAAAAGTCTTCACATAGATTACAAAGCCGTTTAGATTATTGTATTCACTTCAAGCCTTTCCTATTGTTCTTGATGATGCGGAAACTATTTCTTATCAGTGTTTCTAGCTTAGTAAAAGAAGATGTTGTGCAAACGATGAAAAAAGCATAGATGGAAGATTTTAAATGCAATTTTCTCTAGCAATTAATGGTAAATTATCTACAGATCAAGGAAAAGGTGCATGCTAACTGATAATTTAAAGTTCTTGGGGCCAGTTGTTTTCTTCTTTTCTTACGTCGCCCCAATGGCCGCGAATACACTTGTGATAACGCCTATCGATCGATGATGCTCTCTGATAATATGACAAAGCAGGCATAGGTATAAGCAATTAGTCCAACCCTAGCTGATAGCTGCTAAGAGACACACTGAACCTGATTGGACCAGATCTGCACCTAATCTGTACCAGATGTGCACCAAATGTGTACCAGATGGCCGCCGTGAAAACGGCTAATATGGGGCTTTTGATAGCGGAATAGTTGGTCGGTAAGGCGATATATGTTCAAAATGCTTATATTTAATATCAGTTAGTGTTCAGTTACACAGGCACAACCAGGCTTAGGTTGATTTGTGATGGCTCCAGTTTTGAATACCTGATAACTATTATGCTGGCATATAGGTACGGAGACTGTAACCTGCTCTGCTTTGCGTTGGACTTATCTTCGTCCGTCTATTCCTAAGCCCTTGCAGGCCTATACGGTGTATAAGCAGATGCCCTCAACTTTCGAACTTGATCCATTCCACACAAAAGTATTCCAACTGTTTCAATAAAAAGTATCAAAAGGCGTGCGACGCCCGTCCACAACTCTTCCAGAAGTTTTAGCTCAGTCGTTTACAATTATTACTAGCCCTTCTCACGACGGGCTGGGCACCTATCCGATTAATTAAATTTAAAAGCAAAAAAGGAAAGTAATCGACCTTTCATTCAAAAGGTGGAAACCCTGCCAGCAAACAGCTACTAAAATCTATCAGCTTCCAAAGGGACCAAATATGTAAGTGACCAATGCTTGCAGTGAAAAGACCTATTGAGCATTTTCTAAATAAAGTAACGCATCTGCCCCATCTGCAATCCAATTGTTTTATCGCGGATACTTCAGTAGAGTGAAAATCCACCTTGGAACATCCTCTACTATTTCAATTTTGAATGATCTGTCCATGGACGGCATTGCTTTCTTACTTTGTTTGCCTAGCCATCGCCTATCGAGACTCGAGGTGAACTATGGCAGAATAAGCCCCGACCGTGGTTTTCTATGGTGGGAGTGGTGGAACTGGGTCGGATGATTCACGGTCGCGTCATTGGCATTCACAGCTGCAGCGCATTTCCTCCATCTAACGCTCTGCCAGCCCCGTGCAGCTGCATGGGCGCCGCCCCATCCGCCGGCGCACCACCGGGATGGAAGGCTGCGTAACTGAGCGACAGGAAGCTACAACTGGGGGGACGGCGAGCCGGGAGGTCAGACTCGCAGGTAGCTTCACAGGGTGAGGGTACCTCGACGCAGCTCCGGCAGCGAACGGCAAACTGCGACTAAGGTAGGAAACTTGTCAGGGATGTGGCTGATGGCATACACACACAGACCATGTGTACCAATGCAGCATACGATAAGGTAACTTGTTTCTTGATAAGGTACTATCAGTTAGCAAGTGGACTTTGTTCCAGTTAAACATAAATTACAGGCAATGTGTGGAATCAGACATTCGACCGAAACAACACTTATAAAGTTGACTATCAATGGCAGTAAAAATATTTGTATGCCTAATTTTCTTTGCTGGGTTAAGCTTGTCGTCACCTGAAACCATTTCAGGTTAATGAGATGAGAGGAAGCGAAGGAGAAATTGGCTATATGCCGGCCATCAAATGGTGCGCCGCAAGCAGCAACTGATCCAGTCTCGTTGACATGGGAGAACCAACTGTATGTGATGGAAAGAAACGTAGGGGAGAGTGGGGAAAGATGCCCAGGGTTTTGCTATGTCATATATTATTCGAAAATGACGATGGGAAAGCAAAAACTTGGAGTTTCAACGGAAGCCGACATCATTTTTCTCCAAAAATATCACACTTTCGTACCTGAAATATTATAACTTTTTTGTTATTAAGCATTTTCCTGAAGAAGTGAAAGGGGCCATCTTACCCCACAGGGTGGGAAAGACGCCCCCTGACGTTGGGAAAGATGCCCCCTGCACTATAAGTGACATAAATGGGCACGTGAATCGCCTGAACGAATCAGTAGTCCCTTCGAGCCTGCAGTAGACACCAAACGTCATCATAGGTGCCCTCAAAAGTAGTCGTAAGGGGCTTCAGAGGTCATCGTTAGGGCCATCATAGTCCAGCGCGGCCAAACAAGCCTCCGTGGTGGCGTTCGGAGACCACTGTGGGGCTCTTATAGGTCTTCATGATGCTTGAGGGCCCTCGAGCCCATCGTGGGGACCTCCGATGCCAACGCGGCCCGTGGGGCCAACGTGGGAGCCCTCAAAGGATGCCGTGAGGGGCCCTGGAGCCAATAATGGGGCCCACAGAGGCCGTCGCGAGGGCTCTCAGAGTCAGATGCCGCCCAAAAAGTCGCTATGTGGGCCGAGAGACCGGCATGGGGAGCACTCGACCGTACTGGACTCTCAATAGTCCCAGATCGCCCGGCTTTTGTCTACATCACAAGTATGTAATAAATGATTTGACGGGCTGTTTGAAGGACAGCCTACGGATTTAGGGGGGCGTCTTTCCCCATCAGGACAGGGGGCATCGTACCCCAAGATACCGAAGTAACATTAAATCAGTACAATTTGTTAGCCATAAAACTACACCCTGAAACAAACTGTTTGGGACACAGTAAACGCCATGCTAATGTATCACGACTATAGCAAGGGACGCAAAAATTATTTACCTTCTTTGATATTTACAATGTTCTGACACCAAAATATTTTTTTGAAAGCAGCAAATAAAAAACACGCAATCATCAGCCAGCCGTTGCTCAACTGAGCTTCGCAATTTTTTGTGCAGTTAACAAGGCAGGCTTCCGCTTTACGCTAAGAACATTAATTTCCAGGTCCGATTCTTTGTTTCGCCGCTAGAGGGAGTGGGGCGTCTTTCCCACCCTGGGCATCTTACCCCACTCTCCCCTACAGGTCTCGCGAGATTAAGCGGTAGGTTTTGCACTTTTACATTTCCGGTTATATCTCAGAAACTAATCGATCTACGATGAAGCCATTTTACACGATCATGGCCGGCTTGTCACCCAACAAGTCGATCGCATCTTCAACACTTAAAAGCTTAAGACGACGAAGATATAGCCTGAAGTACACTAAATTTTCTAGGTGCAAAACATACTGCTAAAACCCGCGAGACCTGTACATATCCTAGACATTCTATAGAATGCCTGGAAATCAGGCATTCTACAAAATGCCCACTGCCCAGACATTCTATAGAATGCCTGGACAACTATGCATGCTACAGAATGCCTGGTCGGTTAGGCACTCTAAATAATCCCTAGGCATTCTAAAGAATGCCTGAATCCACAGATTGCCTGTAACACATATGTTGCCTTTGAGCACGCCGTTTACTGCAGTAGCATTATGCGTATTTCATACTTCAATTATTATAAACGACTCTACCACTTAAAGCCTCATTGAACATCAATAAATAATCATTTTCATTCATTTTGCCATTTTCCGAGGAGAAGGTCATATATTCTAATGATACTTCCTCATTGAACAGCGTTTACTTTCCTTTCCTCATCTTTGGTCAATGAACTTAGCCGTCGCTTTATATCTGCCGTCTCTTGCAGCGTACATCGGACATCGAGCAGCCTCCCTGCAGTCATGCTGTCTCTCCTGCTTCTGGCGACGTCCCTCGTCGCCTCCGCACAAAACGTCGACTACTGCAGCATGTGCTCCGACCACACCATGTGTTTGTACCCGAACGACGGACCCGGCGACACCTGCACCACGGTGCTGGAGCGAAACGTCAACGGCCAGGAGCAGACCGAAATACTCGCCGCCCACAACGCCATCCGGCGCCGGGTGAAGAACGGCGACTTCGCCAACAACAACCTGCCGGCCGCCGAGGTGATGCCGGACCTGTCCTGGAACGACCAGCTGGCCGTGGTGGCCCAGCGCTGGGCCGACCAGTGCAACTTCAACCACGACGCTTGCCGCAAAATAGAGGTAGAAGGCAAGACAGAAGGCGAAACAGCCGGCCAGAATCTGGCGGCCGCCTGGCGATCGCCAGGCTCGTCCAAGAACTGGACTGAAGACGCCATCAATCCCTGGTTCTATGACGAGCTGGATGCGTTCACCCAGAACGACCTGACCTTCAGGAAGGCTTCCTCCTACCCCGCCGGTCATCTGACGCAGGTCATCTGGGCTGACTCGACCGAGGTCGGCTGTGGCTTCATCGCTTTCGAAGACACCCAAAATATACCGGACTATGGTCCGTACACCTTCACCAGACGACACTACGTTTGCAACTACTTCCCAGCTGGGAACATCATCAATCAACAGATCTACCAGCCCGCCTAGAGAAGCACCAGTCTGTCACAGAGTGGTATAGGATTGCACTGCTCCTGAGCTGAGCCGCATGCAATCTGTCAAGTACCCAGCCAAGTCTGACTAAAGATAAGAACAAACATTTTGTGTGTATTGCATACGGGGTGAGCATTCTGATGGTTTGCATTTTGCAAAGGTATAAAATTGAACACTGTGAGTTAACGGAAATATCAATAATTGATCATTTTCACTTATGTAAATGGGCATAGCAGTAGGTATTGTTAGGTCTGAAGACAGCGATAAAGACCTAATCGGCGTTGCCAAGGTGTTGGATCTGAGCGTGTATTTCGGGATATTACAATTGTGTGCTATATATGTAGTCTGGTTTGGCAGCTTTACTCTTTGTTTATCGGTTAAATAAATGATTATAATATCGCACTGGTTTTACTGAGAATCCTGAAAAGCTCAATCTACTAGATAGATACTTTTGCAGTTACTGTTAACCTACAAAAAAATCAAAATCGAGTTGATGACATTTATTTTGCCATTAGTGACCAAACGCTGTTTCTCAACGCTAACTTTGTTTTACATATTTATCAGGCCTCGCTCTTGTAAATGGGACTGTCGGACTAGGATGGACCACTTCGGTTTTGCGCGAATACCTCGTGAAAAAGGTTAGTCACGATCGTAATCGTGACTCGTGACTAAACTAAACGCTATTGGTCGATGCTGGTGTACCCTTGAGGTAATTACGGAGCGAGCGAAGCGAACGTAGTCTTTCCTTAGACCCTCGCCGGACCTATTGGTTTTCTACATACGCGCCGGCCGAGGGGGGGGGGCGGGTACGACCCCCCCCCTCGCCGTTTCGCCCCTGGTGGAGCTAGCGCGTCGCGGAAAAAACGAGCGTGTGCGCCGTTACGAGACGCAGAGATTGGTACCCGATTTTAAGGTCCTAGGTCAACCGGTGACCTCTGAGGTCAGGTCAAGTGCCTCAAGGTACGGTTCAGTTTTTGGTGAATAACTTCGCAAAAAAACGGCCGCAGAGCGCCGATTTTGGCAGCATCGTGTTCGTCTCGCTCAGGCGCGTCGAATGATATACTTTTTGTCCGGGTCAGGTCAACTTGGGGTGTTGACCTCAGGTCAAGGTCAGGTCAGCACCCCTAGGTCACGAAGTTGGTCGAAAGAGGTCATGTTGCATATCATTCGATTCGGCAGGTCTTCCTGAGTCCATTGGTGGCTTTCCCCGACTCGCTAGCTCAATTTGATCAAGAGTTATTGACGAAAAACTAATATGACCTTGATGACGTCATAAATGACGTCACGCAAGGTCAACATTGCAAAAGTGACGCATCTAACCTTGCTAGGAGTGCATCAAATCACGATTCTGTGTGCTTGAGATAGTTGGAGATCGTTCCCGGCGCCAGAATAGCAGTTTGAATTTTTCCCCATTGACTTATAATGGTGAGGTCACGAAAATGACCTGACCTCATATGACCTTTAGGAAAAATCCGAGATATACAAGTTGTGGGACTCATAATGGATACTAGATCCTGCAAGTTTCAATTCCCTGTGACATCTCCTCTGGCAGTGAGGGCGTTGCGAAGTTGCGACATCTGAAGACCGTGCAGAGGTTCACTTATGACGTCATAGGTCAGTGACCTGACCTGACCCAAAAATGCGGTTGGTGTCAAAAGATCCGGCTTGGATCAAAGGTCAGGTATGCCAAGTTTCAGCTCTCTATCGCCAGCGTGTTCGGAGCTATCGCGAAAAAACCCTATGGGGGGCGGCACCCGCCCCCCCCCTCGGCCGGCGAGGGTTAACGGAAATTTCTGAGTATGAGCGGACGCTTTTGCGAGGCTTATATCTCAGCCACCACTTGACCGATTTACATGCGGTAAATTTTGTAGGGTAGCTTCATTCCTTCTACCAAGTATTGGACTATTCCCGATGCATTTGGGTGACCCCTTATGCACGTGCCACGTGCAAAACGAAGAGGTGTCAGTTTTGTAATTGTTGCAATATCTCGGTAACTACTTGGCCGATTGCGCTGAAAGTTGGCATGTAGGTAGGTACCCACTAGGCACTGCATATCCATGTGCCAGAATTGGGGTGCTGCTGCACGTGCGCACGTGCAGGGGTCGTTTCCAGATCTCGAGAACGGCTGGACCGATGGCGCTCAAATTTGGTACACGGTTAGGGACCAGTTAGTAGGGTGCCGTGCACAAGTCAGTTGGGACCCATTTTGCACGTGCGCACGTGCAGGGTGCCGCTCCCAGATCTCGAGAACGGCTGGGCCGATTGTGCTCAAATTTGGCACATCGCTAGAAACCGGTCAGTAGGGTGCCGTGCACAAGTCAGTTGGAGGTACCCCCTCGAAATTTCGCACGTGCAAGACTCACCCCCTCGCTCGCTCCGTTAGTCGCCCCAAAAGGCGCTATACTGGTTTATTTCACACACACTGAAACTTTCATGACCCTGGCCGTGGTGCACGCGTGAGCAAAGGTGCGGCGTTATCAATTAGGGGAGAGCGGGACACTTTCGTGCATGGGGCACATTCGTTTTCAGCAGTTTATGGGAACACGAGTGACTGCCCGAGCTGAAGGTAAATGATAGAAATATGTACTCGTATATCATTGCCGCCCCTCGTTCACTGTAGAAGACAACACTGCACCTGCTATCAGTCTTGATAAAAACGCAAAGTTGTATTATTCGTGCGCTTTCCAAACTTTTTCATAGCATCCATTTTCGTGATCCTGACTCGGAAATGTGGTTTAGCTTTGGCGGTGAAGAAGCTCACTCTATTCATGGAACTGCTGCAAACTCGTTTGTTGAAAAGGGTCACTTTTTAGCAATAAATTTTGAAATATATTACAAATAACGTTGTGGGGGAGGTTCGTGCACGCACCGCCTAGGGGCACATTCGTGTATTTTTTTTCGTTTTTGCGATTTATGACGTTATCTGTAGTAGGTTTCACTTAGACGCTCGCCTGACTCAGCCTCGGCTGCTTGCGACGTCGTGGCAAGTAATTCACGCGACCTTAGCGAGGTCACGGAGGCGGGTCGATGGTCGGCAGTTGGCAAATTCTTGTTGGCCAGCCAATTCTGTCTACATTTGTTGTGCAATGCATACTTATCGAAAGGAATCGAGTGAAATGGCCTTCTGCCAATTTCTTTAGAGTTTAGTTAGTCTCTGGGGTAATGCCCGGTAATTCCTCGAACTTTGCAGGGTACATGGAAGTGCCCCACCCCTTGCACGAAATCGCCCCATACCTGGGGCGGTTTCGTTCAAACGTTCAGAGTTAGTAAAAGTCATTTTTCTAATAGAAGCGATAATTTTAGAGGATAACGTTTAAAGAGGAAAAATATCTGCAATAGTCCCTTTCCATACTACATTCAACAATTTTACCATTGCACCAACCAAAGAACAGATACATGGATTTATCCATTTTTTTTTTATACGAATGTGCCCCACTCTCCCCTACTGTCATTTCAACTGGGCGGACGCTAGGGTCGGCGGCGGGCCGACCGCCACCGACACATGCCTATGACTTACTATGTGAATATATGCCATATCTATGGGGAATGCATGGCATATGTATGGCGAATGTTTGAATGGCAAATGTATGGTAATGTATGGCGAATGTATGGCATATGTACCTATGGTGAATGGAATGGCGAATGTATGAATGGCGAATGTATGGTAATGTATGGTGAATGTATGGCAATTAATGGCACGGAGTTGACGTAAATAAATGAACAAACCTGGCCAAACTTGAAAGCTTGGTCATCAATACTGGCTTTCAAACCATTATTCCTGTCTCAGTTTCTTTGACGACGCCATAGCTCTATGACCTGGTATGACCCAGCCAACAGCCATTTTCACCAAGACCGGCGAGAGATGCCCGTAGTGCTGACAATTTCGGTGAGCTCAGCAAACGGTGCGGCGACCAAAGAACAAAGCACTTCGGAAGGGTCACGTCAGGCCCCATCCCCACTCCCACCCCCACACACCAACGAGGGTTACGACTGAACCTACGGAAAATAGTTTGTCCCGAGTCGGAGCCGGAGTCGGAGTCGAGGTCCGAATGACGACTACGAAACCAGCCAGATCGACCTCCAAACCTGGAGAGGTGCTTATCCAGGTGGCGCTGAACGCTTTCAGTAGAGGGCAGCACTGTTAGCTGCAGCAGACAGTAACTCCAACCCTGATTACTCCGGGCAGGTCATAGGGCCGGCGGAGAGCAACCCTGAATCTGATAGTGAACACTGAAGAACGTAAGATTCCGGAGAACTGAACATCACTGGATGGTGGTTGCTCAATGCCCAATCGAAGCATATCTCGCTTCGTGATTATGTGCTAATAAACTAAACCAAACTACGTTTGTCGCCTCCTGTTTCATAGCAACAGGGCTGCCGAGTAGGGTGTGTCATATCTAATATTTTTGTCTCAGATCAAGCGCTTCCGCGGATATTCCTTGTCCCTGGGTTCATTGAAGCCCATTGGCACTGTTCTTTTTTCGCTGCACCGAAAATTCAGGCGGCGCGGGCCCAATCAATTTCGACATTTCCCGTGGCGCCCGGCGTTTAAGTCTCCATACTGAACACAATGCGTACCGTAGCGCTAACACCAGCCATATGACTCCCCGTCGGCCTGTAGCGGCCAACACCGTATGACGGTTAAAATTCGATTGCTATTTCTTGTTTAAAGGGACTATCCCACCTTTAACATGGGGTTTGAGTTGAGATAGCCAAGTTTGCGGCGAGGTTCAGAAACCACTATCTATCTAGGTTGCAACCCCCGCGGCCTCTTGGTGTTGAAGAAATTCGTTCCCTTCATTTGAAAATGGGCCTTGTACAAGGCCCTATCTTCAACATGGAGCGACCGTTAGTGTGACGTCACCTCGTTTAGTCATTCTGATTTAAATGGGTTTGTTCGTTGAAAAATGGCTTAAAACTTGGTCTGAACTTTGTTGTGGTGCCTACAGAGTAAAAAGAATCAGCTTTATGACAGTAATGTGGCCTGGGGAAGGAGGTAATTTTGGGCTGTGACGTCACATATTTGAAAGTTTGTGTTTGGAATATGGGAAGCCTAAGATGTTTAATGAAAAATAAATGCCAGAACCGTGTTCCTGGTCATCCAATCTATAAAGTCGGGCACAATTTAACTGGTTTTAACAACATTTTAGAAGGTGGGATAGTCCCTTTAAATGGACGTCGGACGAAACATATTGTTATTGGCCATTCAGGATACAGGGACATTCAGGATTGTTGAGGCCATTCAGGGACCACAGATGATTCATATAATAGGATCACGCTGCAGCCTTGTCAAGACTATTACGAGTGGGGGAGGGAGAATGAGAGCTCGGATGGACATAGGGCAACGTGAGCGGGGTCTCGGGTATCACCCCTCCGTCGGCAACACAATGTGTCGGCTT